AGTCATTTTGAATTGACGGGTTAATTTTAAGTCAGTTTTAGGTTAGTGGGTAAATTTTGAGTTTACGGGTCATCCTAAACCCAACTTGAAATTATTCGGGTCAACCCAAACCAAATTTTTTGAGCTGCGTTCGGGCGAGTTGGAATTTCGAGTCAATTTTTTGACACCTCTATTTAAGATATGCAATTTGTGAGAAGAATACACTAAGACACTTATTTTGAATATTTTTTATGACCATTAACTTAATATTTTGAATATTTTTATGACCATCAACTTAAATAGTATAAAAAAGTAGAGACCCAATATAATTTTGCTATAATTGGAAATTTTTCTGGTTGCTCTACAATTACTTTTAACAATAGTTTGGACTTGATTATTTTGTGGGTTAAGAAATGTATCGCTGTACAAATGTCAAAATTTTTTATTTAGGTGATGGAATATGATATTATGAATAATATATTATTTCGGAAGATACAAATATTATTATATAATCAATTTAATCATTAGATAAAAATTTCAAAATTTGTTGGTTTACATTAATAAGAGATTGTTACCTATCTAATTTTGGTAAGATAAAATTTATTTTAATCTGGGATACATGTTTCTTGTAGGGGCGAACCGTTATAATTAATTACATATTATGAGTGATGATCCCCCAAAAATATTCTTAAAGTAGTGGTTCATGTCTTTATAAATTTTAATTTTCAAGATTGTTATTTTAGAGATTCAATTGGGATTGTTTAAATTGAAATAATTCTTTTCAGAAGCAAATGGGAGAAAGATAGGGAGTGCTTAAATACTGATAAACTTAATAGCACTTCGACTATCTTTATATTTGGTTTTACATTTTAAAAATTGAAATTTATTAATATATGAATTGTGATTTTATTTAAAAACTATGAATTATATTCAAATATAAGATTATGGAAAATTATTGAAGGTGAGGACTTATGATGCAACAAAGGAGAAGCCATTGATCTTAGAACCTAAACAACAGTGAGCACTATCTGCACAGGTTGGGAGCACTTACCAAGTTTGAGAAAATATAGTTGGATTTATAGGTTCAATCCCATGATGGAAAGAAACCGAGCTTGACTTTTTGGGACTTACTATCTTATCTGGAAAGGGTAACCGGCTAAGTCATCTACACTTCAGATCCATGATGTTTAGTTCAATGAAATGCAATATATGTAACATTATTTTTTAAAAATTGAAAAATATTGTTGGGATTTACGACTTGATTCTATCAATCAAGTGACCTGATTATGATTGTTATGCCTTGCATCTATTTAAGTGCAATATTTTATAGTTATTTTATTTTATTAATTATTTTGATTTGTTCTTTTTAAAGTTCATAGATATTTAATTAATGTATGTATGCATTCGTTAAATTTTAAAGTATTGTAGGTCCAATATGCATGTATGTATGCATAATATGCAGTCATGCTCATTGGCCAAGTGCCCTTTTATATGCATTAGGTGAAATGTCGAAAACAAAAAGGAATAAAATGCATACGCATTAGGTGAAATGTCGAAAACAAAAAGGAATAAAATGCAAACGCAAATAATTTACTTCTTCTATTGATTTCTAATGAATTTATTAATTAATCTCCTAGGATTTGATACCCTATCGGTGGTAAAAGGATGGTGAATATTTATCCTTGAGTAAGGGCTATTATTGGACTGTAATTGAGCCGAGTCAAGTCGAGTATATCACAGCTTAGACTTGATTTGGTATAATTATAAGTTGTTCATGTTCGACTTGAGCTTGTGTCAAGCTTTCATATATTGTTTAAGCTTGATTTGTAAGCTTGATTTGTTTAAATTAAGCTTGATTTGTTTAAATTGTTCATAGCTTGGGCTTGCCGTAAATCTCTCACTTAGGGGCTGTTTAATAGAATGATTTATGTAGTATTTAAGCATGATTTAACCTAAATCCTACAGCATAACTAAAAATGACAACTTTAAAACCTACATGAACTTAAATCATGTTTCTCCACTTTTTGCCCTAAATCCTTAGGGGTTGTTTGGAAGCAGGAATTAAGCATCATCAAGCAGGATTTAGCCTAAATCCTACCAATGAACAAATATGACAAAATAAAACCCTAAAGGATCTTAAATCCCACTTCTCCTCCATTTTGCTTTTAAATCCTGGATATTGTCTAAACAATAAAAATTACAACTTTAAACCGTACAAAATCTTAAATCCCATTTCCCCTCTTTTTGCCTCAAAACTTGTATATAGTAATTTAGGAGGATCATAGCATTTAAAGAAGTTGAAGCGTGTGAAGAGGGGTGCGAGGAAGGATTAGAAATATGGGGATTAATCTAGTAGGATTTAAGAGCAGAGTGGAAAGGGGAGATATATTAGAGACTAGAGTTTTAGAGATCATTGCCCTCCACAATCTTGTTGTTGCCTCCGTTAGTTGTACGCCCTAGCGACTCAGGGTTTCTTATGTTATGGGTGAAACCGAGAGCCGAAATTCTGAGAGGTTAGAAGGAAAGTGAGGTTTGTTGGAGTTTAAAGTTAATTTTAAGGGGCATTTCATACATACCACATAAGTCTTATGTATTTTTATATATAACACCTAGACTTTAATAAAATAAATAAATAATTAATAATTGTATATTAATAAAATAAATATTTAATTAATAATTAATCTAAAAATATTATTAATATAATAATATATTACCATTAATTATATAATTAAATAAATTCAAATTAATTATATTTTATTTAAATAATATATCATAGATGATAAAAATTTTTATCGAGCTTAATATCGGTATTTATCAAGTTGTTTGTTGAACCAACAAACGAGCTTGTTCATTAACATAAATGAACAAATTTTACTATGTTCATGTTTAGTTTTATTAAACTTCGAGCTTTTAAAAATTGTTCAAGTTTGTTTATTTGCTTTTTTGAACGAACATGATCGAGTTTTAATCGAGCCGAATTTGAGGAGTTCAACGAGTGCATTGGTTAATTTACAGCCCTAGCTGTTGTCACTACCCTTAGATTGCAAAATAAAGTTGGGGTTCAAATGTCTAAAAAGCTTTGGAGGCCAGAAGTTTTTCTTGACGTATAGGTTGTGTTTTATGAGAGCTTTAGCATCCTGGGGCATTAGTTTTCACATAAGCTTTTCAAATTGATTCATCTGATTGTTTTTACATTAATTTTCATGCGGCAGTTTTATGTCTGGTTGTGCTCTGTGCGATTTAAGAAATGTGGTTAAATGCCTTTTATTGTCTATATACTTTCTCATGTCAGCTCTGTCCTTACTCATTTGGGGCCGAATATAAATGTTTAAGTAAGGCTTGCAAGATGGCGTTTCTTTGCATGAGATTCCATCTTGAAACTGAGGATGGAAATCTGTGATCATTGAAGAGGAGCTCTGTTTTATGCTTCTTATTGCACAATGTCTAATCTCTTACATTTAGTTTGGTCTTTTCTTTTTTAACACATTTTCTTGTTTCTAATTGGTGTATATTTTGTCCTTTGTTGTATATAACCAAATGATCTTAGCTATTTTCCTGCTTTATCTTCAAATTGTGCTATCAGTATCTTTCTTTTGTGTCTTTCTATCCTTATTTTATCACATTCATCTAAGTATTATCATTTTTCGGCATACCTAATTTGCTTGTGAATGACATGTTGTGGGCAACTTGCATCCATATAGCATGGTTGGTCTAGCAAATACCAAAAAAACAAATGGTTCAATCTAAATTTTCCTCCGTGTCTGCCCCCTCTTGTTAATCTGTTTTATTATTTATCATTACTCTTGGATTCAGCTGTTAATTTGCTTCAGTTTTAAGGTAATTATTGGAGTTTATCTGTAATTTTTTTCTGATAAACTGCCCATGAAGACTCATAACTTTACCTTTTTGATACCTTGAAAATTTATTTGTTTGTTAAGTGGAACATTGATTTGATTTTCTGATGCTTTGATATTTACTTTCTTTTGGGCATGTACAAAGTTGCTTGGGGAGGGTAATTTAGTAATGATTGAGCTTCAGTTAAAAAAAAGAAGTTGAAAAAAATTACAAGACAATTTTTAGGTATTGGTCGGCAATCATTTCTTTGATCACCTAGTCATATCCGTTGGAGATGTATGTTGCGGACTGCAGTGTAACTGTGTCGGCGATAAAAAGTAGGGTTGGGGGATGGAGTTAGGTTAAGGATTTTAATATAAGTTAATAATAATAATAATAATAATAATAATAATAAAAATATTATTTATTTATATAATTAACACTTAAATAGGTATTTTCCCCAAGACGCGCCGTCGCAATGAAACGAACGTCCCCCCTAGGCAAAATTAATGTTCCGGACGCATTGACGCAGTCCGTTTTGTCATTCGGAGTCGTTTGGGCAACCTCGTCGTCGATCGGGCTAAAAACACGTCGCGGCCCAAATCCTATCAAAATTTCGGCTCGAATTCGATTAAACGGGACGGCGAAGAGCGCATCGACGCCAAATCAACGAGTAAAGTCAATCCTAAGGCCGACAGTCCTATAAGAATGCTCCTTGAGTTCCTTCGGAGTAGCCTTACCTGCTAAACAATAGCGGTCAAGACTACTACATGGAACGTCAAGTCGAGCGAATAAAAGTTCAGAATTGCTAACGGGAACGGCTCTTTCACTAATTTTCTAAGAGTAGTCGACAGAAAGGTCCTACGGCTAGATCCTAGGCTACTAAGGAGGGGAAAACTGCACTTCGACCGAAAGCGAGATCAGCAAACTGTTTATAATATTTCCTTACCCTCGCACTTATTTTGCCCTTATAAATCCATTGAAGTCTACAAATACACCTTCCACAAAACTTTGAGTCTTTGGGAGACCATCTTACTTGCCTTTGATTTATTCATGCTTTCATTTGCTATTGCTGTTCATATTTTGTTCTCAGTCATGAATCAGCATACCCTAACAGCTGCTACTATATGGCTTTATGAAAATACATTGATCCACATTTTCTGATGTATTTTATTTTTCCAGGTTTCCTGACAACTGCTCCAATTTATTATCGCAACAAACATGATGAAGCAAAGTGATCTTGTTAAGCCAAAATCGCTAGAAGATTGCGGCAGCCATGGATACACCAATGATGAATTTGAGGAGTACAGTGAAGAGGAAATGCTTAGTGAAGAAGAACCAAATGAAAACTTGTGTATGTCCCCAAAGAAAGAAGGTTCATGTGAAGAATTGAACAAGTTACAAGCTTCTAGTGCAGAAGAACCAAATGAAGATGGTTCATCTGATGAAGAACCAGCGGAAGAAGTTCCATTTGGAGATGAATTTGATGATGAAGATTCATGTCCAGAAGAACCATCTGAAGAAGATCCGATTGAAGAATCTGAAGCAGAAACTGCAGAATATCCAACAAATGAGATAACATTAGAAAAAGTCAGTGATGAAGATCCATCAGATGTATCATTTGAAGAGATTGTTGAAGAAGAGTCCTCCGAAGAATCAGAGGAGGAACCTAATGAAGAAGAGCCTTTGAGTAGTTCTATGGATCAACCACCTCGTTTGCTCAAAGAAAATAAAGCATCAGATCAGATAATTTCAGCATCAAAACCTTCTGCTGAATCTTCTTTTAATCATTGTCAAAGGGAATCAAATAACCTCTCTACAGATGCAACTGTTTCCAAGCAACCGGGTGATCCATTGACTTCTAGAAAGAAAAGGCGCAGTGGATGGGATATGAAGGCCGAGACTCCAATGCTATTAAATGAGTGTGGTGACCAAGATAAAAAAAGGAGTAGATGGTCCAGTGATACAAAGGCCGGGGCTTCAATTCCAGAGAATGATAATACTGTCCTAAATAAAAGTAGGAGAACTAGATGGTCCAATGATAAAACTCAGTTTAACTTTTCAGATACTGTAAAGCTTCCAGATTCTGTGAAGGATATTTTATCCAACGTACACAATGACAAGCGCATAGAAAGGTTGAATGCAAAGCTTCAAGAGATACACCAAAAGCTTGAGGGTAGTATGATAATCAATAAGCCACAGAAAGAAAGTTCCTCATCTCCACAACCTATTGATGTTGGACTTGATTTAAATGAGTCCAGTGTCCGTTTGAAGCTCTTGAAGCAGAAGAATGAGATCATTTTGGAACTTCTTAGAAAGATAAAGAAGGAAGATCAACCTAAACATCGTTCAATACATAGTTACAAATTCTGCAAGAAGTTATACATTCCTTTAAAGGAATATCCCAATTATAACTTTGTTGGTCTTATACTTGGTCCTAGTGGGAATGGCTTGAAGAGAATGGAGGCGGAGGCGGGGGCCACAATTCTTATAAGAGGTAAAGGTTCAGATATTAGGGATAAAGGAAGCTCGAGTGATGATGAGCTGCACGTCCTGATACTATCAGACAGCCAGATTTGTTTAGATGCTGCTGTAAGTATGGTGGAAAAGCTTTTGGTTCCTGTTGATGATTCTTATAATTATCGTAAATCTGCCCAACTGAGAGAGCTTGCTGAGTTAAAAGGGATTCGGGTACGAAAATCATGGGAGATGGACCCATGTGTCATCTGTGGTATGCCAAGCCATCCAACCTCTGCTTGCCCCCTCTCTGCAACGGAATCAAAAACCAGTCCTAACTATCTCACGGGATCTGGAAGTTTATTTTCTTCTTTTAAAAGTCCACCAATTTCTCCTCCCCCCCTGCCTTCTGTGGTTAATGCACATGGTGACAAACCGAAGGGTTTTGATCTTGCTAATCTCTTCGTAGGTCTTCTTCCTCAATCTGTCACTATTGATAAATTAAAGGAGCTGTTCCTGCCTTATGGAACCATTTGTTCAGCGACAGTGCTAATGGATAAGAGCACCGGCCGAAGCAAAGGGTGCGGCTTTGTTAAGTATACTAATGCCAGTGATGCTTCGAATGCTATAGAAAAAATGAATGGTTACTTGATTGATGGTAGGAAACTAGCAGTTAGAATAGCAGGAACCTTTGCACCTTCCAATGCAAATCTGCCAAATAATGCTGGATTTGTTTCTATTCCCCCTCCATCTTTGATTTCAAATCAGCCAAAATTTCCATGCTTGCCTTATATTCCTCAATTTTACAATGCAAATCTGCCAAATTATCAGGGAATAAATCCACCATCTACTTCAAATGTAAATCTTCCAAATTATCTTGGCCTTGCTTCTATTCCACTTTCTTCAAATGCAAATCTGCCAAATTGTTCGGAACTTGCCGCCATTCCTCAAACGATTCCTAAACCAAATAGTTGGCCAGGTCCTGCAGGTTCTGAACTTGCCGCCATTCCTCAAATGATTCCTAAACCAAATAGTTGGCCAGGTCCTGCAGGTTCTGAACTTGCCGCCATTCCTCAATCGATTCCTAAACCTAATAATTGGCCAGGTCCTGCAGGTTCCATGCTTCCGGAATCTGGTATTTCTTTTCTTAAGAGCAACTATAATTCATTTACGTGCACTGAAAGTGTGCCTTTGCAGTCTCCAAAATCCCTTGTTTCCTCATTCCAAACATCTCTTGTGAAGGATGGCTACATGATGGATGGGAAGAAGCTAAACGTTGAAAATCTACCAAACCCTTCCCCATTATTGAGTGCAAGTCTGCCAAATTATCCACAATTTGCAGCCATTCCTACAGAGATTCCTGGTTCCATACTTCCTGAATCACGCACTTCTTTCCCCACAAACAGTTATAATTCATTGAAGCACACTGAAAGTGTGCCTTTTAGATCTTCCACATATCTTGGTTCCGCTTGTCAAACATCAATTTCATCATCCCAATTTCATGGTGTCACTGCAATATCCAATGAACTCGCTACTTTTCCTGGTTATCTTAAGAGCATCGACCCTCCAAATCAACTCGATCAATCAATACCTTCAAGCAGTCTGTCATCTCAAGCAGCTTATTTTACTGAGAACTTTTCTGGCAACCATATTAGTCCTGATTGGCGGTAACCATGATCATTCTGCATTAAACTGAATTCAGTAGATATGTTCTAAATCTATGGCTGAAGGTACAGATCTTATATTTTTTTTTATTTTAATTCATCAATCTTGGTGAGATCCTAGTTATAAGTAAGGCTGCTAAGTACAGATTGTGGAATATCCGTTTGTGAAGAAATATAAAAAAAATATGCCCTGGAAGGTGCAGAGCATTGAAATGTGCATGGCTGTAGCTTCTTACCATTTCATCATTTGGTTTGCTTTCGCAGGGACAGCTGAGTTATTTTATTGCTGCGTTTGGATAATTTGCTACTGATTATGGAAAGAAACTTATGACTGGCCATGTATGTTAATCATTCTCTTTATACGTTTTGTTCAGTTTCTTTGTTTTACTGATGAGAGGTTTTTAGCCTTTTCAAGGATTTGAATCAGATGCACATTTTATTTTCCTTTGAAACTTTTAAATTTTTACAGTCTAATAGTTGGCTTGGTATCTATGGGCTTATATGATGTTATATTCAATGGATATTATGTGTTTACTTTTTTTAGGATGGATTTTAAAATTTTGCAACTAATAAAATTTATTAGGGAAATTAAAAAAAAAGAAAAGAAAAGAAAAGAAAAGAATTGGCACGGTGGCCACTCCAGCGTGGCGGGGGGGGGTAATGGGCTAATGTTGGGACGAGTTATTATTATTATCAATAGGATCTATTCAGTGGGATAAAGACTTGTTGTTATTGTTGTAGCTCATATTAAATTCTAATTTTGTGGATTTATTTTACAGCCAACTAAACCACCTTAAGAGATCCAAAAGTTTAGTTTTTATTAATTTTAGAATATGCATGCATCTTAAATATTTTTAAGCAAATAACTCTTAAAATAATAAGAAGAAAATGAGAACTAAATCTTTAATATATATATATAATCCTTTGATTAAAACCTTAAATAAATGCTCCTTAGTAGCATAAATCGAATTTGATGGGCTTATATAAGCATTTATTTTTTCTTATTCCATAAATTAGCATTTCAACCCGTTCAAATTCTAACATAAAAACAGCAGCTCTAGCCTCTATGTACAGCTGCAATACAGCAAGATCCAAACTAGTAGAAAGCCCCAAACCAAAGCTTCCCATTTTACTGGAATGCTAAGGAGCTACGGGACAAGCCCACGCCCCAACAGCCGGCCGGCGAAGAATCTTCCATGGAGATTCCTCGCCGGAGCTCCGGCGAGGAGCTGACGAGGCGTCAAAAGGTACGTTCGATATTCGAGCGCTTCGATTTGAACGGCGATGGGGGTCTCGACCGCTCCGAATTGGCCGCCCTCGTTGCTGCCGTGAACCCCGCCCTCCATTTCACCGGCGATCAGATCTCGTCCATCGTAGACGTGGTCTTCCGCTCTTACTGTGATTTCAACGCTGATTCTTCATCCGGCCTCTCCCTCGACGGTCTCTGTCAAACCTACGCTGATGGAGCCGGCGATCTCGACCGCGATTTTGCCGCTTTGTTTCTCTCTAATGAGAATCCAGATGTGTTCAATTCTAGTTTGAGCACCAATCGGTACCTGCAGCTCTCTCTTACGTGGCTCTCTTCGCCCAACCATGGCGTGAAGTATGGTAGTACTTGGAAGGTGATCGAAGAGGTTGAAAATGCTATTAGGGCTAAGATTCGGGCTCGTGCAGTTAAGCTTTTGTCTAAAGAATCCACTTTTGCGGAGGGATTCTCAGAAGTGTGGTGCTCTACTGATCTTGGGTTGGAGCTGGAGCGGAGGGGTTCAGAGTTTGTGTTTAACGAGAAGTCTAGTGAGTTCCGGGTTTTGTTGCAGGAGTTGAAGGCGATTAGGGCTAAAGTTGACAGTATGCTTATGGTGGAAGAGGTATTTGATGGCCATCTTGCGATTGGGAGGACTTTGTTCGAACGCCGGTTGTTCATGCAGGCGCTTGAAAGTTTCCGCCGCGCTTTAGAGCTACGGCCAATGGATGCGCGGCCTCTTTTCCGGATGGGCAACACTCTATGGTCTCTAGGCCGGATTAAAGAGGCTAAAGATAGCATCTTGGCCGCTCTGGAGCTGGCTGAGAGCGATTCATTTCAGTGGTCAGGTCTCCTTCCTCAGATTCATGTGAATTTGGGGATAGTCATGGAAGCAGAAGGCCTAGTGATCAATGCCAGTGAGCATTATCGCGAAGCTGCCATCCTCTCCCCAAGCCATTATAAAGCTCTCAAGCTTCTTGGAAGCGCTTTGTTTGGTGTTGGTGAGTATGAGCCAGCAGAGACGGCATTGCAGGAAGCTGTTTTCCTCAAGCCAGACTATCCTGATGCACATTGTGATCTCGGATGTGTTTTCTACGTCATGAAGGAGGAGGAGAAGGCAATTCTGGCCTTTCAAAGGGCGATTGATCTCAAACCTGACCATTTAGATGCTCTTTATAATCTAGGGAGCTTGCTTCTGAGTGCAGGTAGGCATAAGAGAGCAGCAGACATGTTTGGGAGGGTGGTTGCATTCAATCCAGGTCACTGGAAAGCTCATCTGAATCGAGGTATCTCTTTGTTTGGTGCTGGAGAGCTGAATGAGGCAAAAAAAGCTCTTTCTGAAGCATTAAAGATAACAAAAAGGATAGAATTGTATGAAGCCATTCAGCATTTGAAGCAATCAAAGAGAAAGAAACCGAAAGATGAGCGAGCACATTGGGTTACAGTTGATGCTTCTAAGTTTGTGACAGCAGATGAGAGAACCACAACTCAAAAATGCTTGTCAGATACCATATGGACTAGAGAAATCCAGAAATCAACTAAATTAGGACGTTGTGATGCTACTCTTCTGAAGAAGGAAATGGAGGCATACCAATTCCCTGTTTCTTCTTCAGATAGATCGGTAAGGAAGGCTGAGGTGGAGCTTCTTCTCTACAAGCTTCTCCATTCCTTGCGGCCTGATACTTTTCGTGGTGCCATCAAGGCAATTGATGAACGGATATGGCATGTATTGGATATTACTGGTTCTGGAAAGATTGATCTTGGTATGTTCTTTGCCGTCATAGCTCCTATATGTGGAGGATCACCGGAGAATCGAAAAAGAGCAGCCTTTGATGCTCTTTCATGGCATCCTTCAAAGAATGAACCACATTACCTGTTTTCTAGTGTGGATGCCTATGTTTACATGAGAAACTTGAGAAAGGTTTACTTTCTTTCTCAGCAGTTTTCTGATCTGATGGAGATCCCCCAGGTAGGAGATGGTATTGATATTTCATTTCATGAATTTGTGAACATGTTTGATGATATTGAACATGGTTTTGGAATAATGAGTACATTGATGAAGCTAGAGGAAGGTGCTAAGGTGCACAGAAGCCGGCATTCATGTGGGGTTTGCAGGTACAGAATCTCCAACCTCATGTTCAAAGAAGTGAAGGCAAAGTTTTGTTTATGTGCCAATTGCTACAGTGAGTGTAAGGTCCCTTCTTTTTTTGACAAGGAAGATGAGTACAAATTCAAGGAGTGCTTTTTTGAGTAACTGGGAGATGTCACTTTATATATGAGAGTTAGTGCTCTGATATCTGATATATGAGAGTAACTGGGAGAGGCTTTGCTTATGTAGTTGGAAGGGGTGGCCTATCATGAATTGGTTGGTCAATGTTGTTAATATCAATATTTTAATAAAAGAGGATGCTTGCGTAAGGTTCTGGGCGTGACATACGTTTATTATTTTGCCACCAAAAACGACATTTTGACCAAGTACTAACATCTCAAACTTCTGCCGTCCATGTTCTCTTTCACAGCTTGCTATGTTACTCTTCACCAATTCTCGTGGAAAGCTCAGAAGCTCATTCATTCCTATCTTCTGCAAAGCTATATAGAGGGCTCTAGTGCTGTTTGGTTCGGCCTATGATTTTTGTTTTTGGTGGGAATGGGTTTGAGATGAGGAGTTTTATTCCTCTTTCATCTTTTTTGGTCATGTTAGAAAGTTAAGCTGATGTTGTGAGTAGACATCATTATAAATCATGTAGAGAATCCATTGATTTGCTTCAACACTTTATGTTCTATTTATTATTGATAAGAAAAGAAAAAATTATCTCTTTGAATTGAAAAATACTTTCCAAATAGGTTGGCTGCAAGCCTGCATAGCATTTGGATGCATTTATGAATGCATGTCTGGCAAAAATTGAGAGAATAATAATAAAAAAAAAGATTTTTTGAGATATACATGATTTTTCTTGATTTTCTTGATTATAGAAGATAACTTGGAATTAAAATTGCGCAATTAAATATTAATTTTTTTTTCTGTCTGTAGGTTCAGGTGTAAGTTGTTTTAAAGTATAAGCCTCAAATTCAATAAAATATATTAAGAAAGAAGAGCTGTATAAAGTTTAAAATATAGAGAAAGAAGTATTGTATTAGTACATTAACTTATTAATATGTTATTAACTAATATATCAATGTCCTAACAATGTATGAACTAACAAATAGGAAGAAGTGTCTAAAAATCTCATCATTAAATCATGGAATAAGATTGGTTATACAAACTTCAATCAATTAACATCATAACATTAAATCATAATAAGATTAGTATACAAGCATCAAACTATTAAAGTAAGCTAAGATATCAAAATAACATATTTTAATGTATTGACATACAACATCAACAACAAGCCTTTATCCCACAAAGTGGTGCTGGCTACATGAATTATTTTTCTCTATTGTGTCCTATTGAGTGTCATATTTTCATTTAATTCTAATAGATTAAGATCATTTTTTATACAATATGCCCAAGTGTTTTTAGGTTTGCCTCTACTTTTCTTAATAATCTAAAACATCTACTCTCCTAACTAGATTATCAGATGGTTTACGTATAATGTGACCAAACCATCTAAGATGGCTCTCTAATCTTGTTCGACGTTGGAGCTACACAAATCCTTTCACATTTTCTCTAAGAGTTAAGCCACTCATACACCTAAGCATTTTCATCTCAGCAACACTTAACTTTGTTTTATGCTTCTCTTTTAAAGGCCAACATTCTATGCTATAAAGCGTTATAGTTCTGACTACCATCTTATTAAATTTTCCTTTTAAGTCTAAGCGGAACTTTTCTATCACACAATAGGCCCAATGCATTCCTCCACTACAACCAACCAACTTAAACTCTATTAATAACATTCCCATCATTATCACAATCATTTTGAACAATAGACTTGAGATATCTAAAATGTTCACACATTTTACAGACTTGATTGACCTTGGTTACAACTCTGCCACTACAGCTACTACTACTAGAGTTGTATTCCATATCTTAAGTTTTAGATCTACTCAAACGAAGGCTCTTACTGTAAATTTTCAGTAAGAGCATCCATAAATATAACAAAATGAAATGGGCTTAAAGCTGATTCCTGGTGTAATCCAGCTGAAATAGGAAAATACTTAATCAATCATCTTTCTATTCGAACACAAGTGACAACTCTAGTATGCATATATTTGAAAACTTGGATATAAGTCATGTCAAAGCCTTTCTTCTTCAGAACTCTCCAAAGAACTGCTCTTGGAACCTTATTGTAAGCATTTTCTAAATCAATAAAAATCATATGTAGATCCTCCTTACTCTCTTTGACTTCTCCATCAAACCTCTCAAAAAATAGTTTCTTATAGTGGACATGCCCTATATAAATCTAAATTGATTATGAGAAATATTTGTATTAGTCTTAACCTATGTTCAATTACCCTTTCCCATAATTTTAAAGTATTATAGATTAACTTAATTCATCTATAATTTGCACATTTTTTATGCACCCCCTTTATTGTTAAAAATGGGGACCAAAAAACTCTTCCTCCACTCCTTTGGCAATTTTTTAGTTCTTAAAATAATATTAAAGAGTTCAGTAAGTCATGAAAGTCTCAAAGCTCCTAAATATTTTCATACTTTAATTGAGATATCATCAGGTCTTACTAATTTTCCACCCTTGGTTTTCTTTAAAGTCTCCTAAACTTCTTTTTATTAATGCAATGATAAAAAATAAAATATTTTATTATATTTAACGATGTTAAGATTACTCAGATTGATCGCATTTTCAAAAACTTTATTGAAAGTTTTTTTCAAAATAGCTCACTCACCTATGTTGAATATCTTCCTCCAAGAAAAGCAATTTTTTATTTCCATCTTTAATACACTTCACTTAAATTAAATCCTTACTTTTGTTTTCTTTTTGTTTGGCTAGCTTATACATACATTTTTCTCATTTTTTAATATCTAATCTATTATAAAAATTACTAAAAGTAGAATTTTTATCGTAATAAATTGTTCTCTTAGACTCCTTACGGGCCACCTTATATTTTCCTAGTTATCTATGCTTTTATATTAAAAAAAAAAATTTATAACACAATTTCTTATATTTTATCTTCGTATGCACATTATTATTCCACCACCAATTATTTTTATTTATAATGAATTTTTCTTTGGATTTTTCAATCTTTTGTTACTTTTTTTTAATTTTCTTATTTAATAGTGTTTGTTACTTTATCCCACATAAAATTAACTTTGTCATGAACATTCCAAATTTTGAAATCTTGAAGTTTAATCATAAAAAAAAAATTATTTTTGTCTTTTAGGTGCCTCATTCTAATTCTATGACTATATTTCATTGTATTTTTTATATTGCAACTCCTTATCTTAAAATCCAGAACTAATAATTGATGTTGAGTACTTTAATTTTCATTTGGAATGACCTTAAAATCTTTATATTCTAGATGATCTTTTTTCTCATAAGAAAATAATTAATTTTTATTTTATTAGATAAATTTTTATAAGTAATTATATCCTCATCTCTTTTCTTAAATAAAGTATTAGCAATAACAAAATCACACTATAAAGCAAAATCTAGTATGATTATACTTTCTTCATTCGACACTCCAAAATCATAGCCACCGTGAATATTTTGAAAATCTTCTACCACTCTATCAACATGTTAATTTAAATCTCATCCAATGAAAATTCTTTCTTTATGAGGCATCTTTTGTATTGGTCATTAATTTTAACGTATTGACATATTACCCAAAATGAGTTTAAGTTATTCTCCTCTCCCACTCATAATTTCCTCCTCTTAAAATAAGAATATAATATACCATCAACATTAAGGTTTTTAAATTTGAAAGTCCCGTCACTTTTATCACTCAAAAGATCTTTATCAGAATTATCAACATAAGGAATTATTTTCTTTCCTATCTTAATTTTAATTGTAACTATATTCTTTCTTTCTTCATCGCCTACAATATTTATCATTTTTCTCTTTCTTAATCAATAATAAATAAATTTTTAAATAACAATTATTTTGATAGTTAAAACCTTAATTACATAAATTCTTTTGGTTGTTTTTTTTTATTTAATGTTGGCTAGTGTGTGAGGAGTAAAGGTTATGGTGAGATATATTAGTGTTAGTATAGTTATTTTAAAAAAATTGTGGATTTCATCAAACAATTGAAGTGAGACGTGCTTTAGTTTAGGTGAGATATTTGTCTCACCATAAGATAAAAAGTCATAAGCTTCATTGCAATTTTTCCTTAAGGAAGTTTTGAAGAATGTTTCATGTTACACTATTTTTAATAAGATATGATAACGAATTTAGTATACACATGATTCTTGTCATCAAACTATTACTAAACATTAACATGTTTTATTAATTTTGAAGCATTGCAAGATGAAATATTAATGTCTACTCTACTAAATGCTATCATATGAGTTACTACAGGTAGATCTTACTTTAAAAATCTAAAAATTAGCTAAATTTCGCCTACATAATAGCAATACAAGAATTTTCATGTCAAGAATTCAAGCTCATATACTAAGGCTTTTCACCATTACTTTCTACGTAAAAAAGATTTTCCTGTCAGGAATTCAAGTCTATAGAATAGGAGATTTTCCTCTTAGGAATTCAGGTCTATAGAATAGGAGACATTCTCAATATCACTTCCAAAATAAAACATTTCTATGGCTATTTTAACAAGCATTATTATAAATGATAAGACACAACACATATCAAGGAAAAAAAAAATCTAGTTTTAAGAGATTGATATTTAAAATTCAAATTCAAAGAGAATAAATTATGTCGATTAGTGACAATGTTTTAGATTGTTAGAACAAAGATGCATGTGAGTTGAAAAGTGAGAAAAGTTCAAAAGAATATTTGAGTGAGCAAGTATGTGATGAATCACTAGAATCAGGTTACATAAGGGCGTGAAAATTTTTATGATAAAATTAGTACACACACAATTTCTTTGTAACGTATTGTGACCAATACCAGTTCTGATAATAATTTATAACATTTTCTAATACCTCTTATCTTTATTTCTAACTACAACGACATATATTTTATTCATTATAAAGAAATCACTCTAAGCAATAAGACTTTTACAATGGATATTATACACTACAACATAAACACACTTGCAACAACAAATCCCTTGAATCTAAACTTCATCAGAAGGTAATTATGGGCATATTTCAATTGTATAATTTTTTTATCATAATATCATTATTTTGTAGCACATGATCAGTCTACCCAAAATCATAAAAATAGAATACACCATACTTTATAATGCTTTGGTTTTTATAGATCTACATCCATCATAAAGATACTAGAAACAAAACTTATGCTATGCTCGAAATATAAATTCATAATTTTATAATGCTCAACAAGAGTACAAAAAAGAAAGAGGGGTTTGGAAAAAAGCTCCGAAAGAAAAGAAGGCCAATATTCTCTTGATAATATAATAAAAAATGAATAAATTAGGAAGATGAAGACAAATATTATAAATACTCAAGACCAGATCCTTGTTTCATTATTGAGATGCCTAAAATTATTGTTGTCCTATAAAACACGTGTTAGTCCTAATTGTGGCTTATCGGTGAGTCAGGGACAACCAAAAGATATGTGTTGAAGGTTCAAGCATGCAATGCCAAATATAAATCTTGGGAAAATATCAATTGAACAAGATTGAGAGTAACCTTAGATTGAAATTGACAAATAGCAAATCTGAATCTAAGCTTCTAATAGGTATTGTTAGATGGCATGCAATGGAAATATATTCACGAGGATGGAGTACAATGCTTGAAGGTTAACTATCATAATAAAAGAATTCTAATTCTCTTTTTAATGAAAGATTCTCTTAGTGTGTCATCATTTCTACTCATAGATGTCCAAGATGGCTTCATGGACATGAAATACAAAGTAATTTACAAGACCCCTAAGCCAAAACCACTTTGGCTCCTTATTTAGATGTTGTCTTTGGCTCAACATTTTGAGACAATACTAAAATAGGAGATACATGCTTAAATAGTTCCTTAACTATTTGAAGAGATCCATTTTAGTCACAAACATTTTTAAAGTGCTAAGTTAGCCCCAAACTATTTTAATAATGGCTAAAATAAATCTAACGTCAAAATTAGTTGAAGTTGAGGTTAAAATTAATAGAGGATTCACGGTTCAAAATGTATGTTGGAGATTAAATATTTCTATTATTTATGTAGTGTTTATGTTATCAACTGCACCGAAAGACATAGCTAAGGATAATGAGGCCTGCATAACTAGCATGTCTAGGTAATTTTGTTGGCAATAGAGATGAAAAATGGGCAGGAAACTTCTCCTTGAGCAGTACCAATAAGTGGATGGAGCTCCCTGAGCAATGAGTGGTAATTTGTTTCATGCATGAATTCTCTTATATTTGAGTTATTAATTGGGTTGTTAAGAATTTGTCATAGCAACATTTCGAGACAAGGCAAGCGGAGGGGATCCAAAAAAATTTTCACCCACATTAGGGTAAGCTTTTTTAATCAATGGCTTTTTGATATGGTAAGTTTGGGATATTGTAAGAACAAGCTATATTGTATTCATTTCATCATAGGGTGTCTCAAAATAAAGTTAGAGCGACCGAGAATAGCACAAATAACTTATGTAATGTTATTTTCAAGCGGCTTGAATATTTAATTTTTTTATAGTTCTTTGATGATTTGATTGATTGATTGATTTGCCAATGGAAATAGGCGGTGATGGAGATGTAGTGGTAAAGTTGTAATAATTAAGAAGATGATGATTTAGGCTATGAGCGTACAAACATATGATTGTAAAGAATATTATGATAATGATTATGAGATGCAAAAAAATGAGTTTTTTGAAAATAATGTTGATCATTTTATTGAACTTATTTGTGCTCAAGATAAAGGAAAGTAGACCACTAATTTATATAATGAATATTTTAGTAAATTTTTTAGGGAAAAAAATTGTGATATTGATTATATAAATTCTGGTGACTACACAAATATTTATGCTAGTGATAATGATGTTAGTATCAAATAAGCAATATTGAATCTTCGGGTAGAATTACGGGGAATTAGTTTTAAAGTCAGCGTGTTATTCACAAATAAGGAGTTAACATAAGCTATAACAAATTTGTCAATTCAGAGAGGAACAATAATTAAAATTTTCAAGAATAACAAAAGAATATGTCAAGACATTTATAGATGACCAAATTGCCTGTTTGTCATATATGTTTTCAAGCATGAGTGGAGTATTTTATGTTAGATAAGACTATTATAAGAGCACACTTGCACAAGTATCATAACAAAATTTTGAACTCTATAACTATCATGAAGAAAAAATATTGTTCAAATTAGGATTTATCCATAAATTAAGTTTATCTTACTTAAATGAGAAATTACTTTTTATTTAAGATTGCAAGTGTTAAAAGAACAAACTAAGAAGGCCTTCATGAAGCATCATAAAATGATCCACATGAAAAATTTAAGATCAATTTAACAAAATCTAGGACTATTATACATAGATTGCAAATACCAACTGAGTTTCATCTATTGTAGCGCATACAAGTCAAAATTCAAATTTGAATGATATAAAGGCTTTATAATTGCTTAGTTGCATGCAACAAGTTTTTTTTCTTAGATTGTAGACTAGTAGTAGGTGTTCATGGATATGTTTTTGAAAGGATCACAAGGGGCTCAACTTTTAACACTGGTTATTGATGAGAATAACAATATATCACACATTGCATGTGCATTGATTGAAGCAGAGAGTATTAGTAGTCGGTAATAGTTCTTAATTTTTGTTTGGCAAAGATACGAGTATTTTTGAAAGGCAACACAAGTTTTACTTTTATTTTTTTATGAGCAAAAGGAGTTGATTCTTGCATTTGAGAATATATTGTCTGATGTCACTAATAGACTACGTTAGACTTGAAACAAGTTGTTGATTTACAATATACAAAAAAAAATTAAGTAATTTGAACGGTTGAAGGATATGCGACATAAGTTTTAAATTGATTTTATATGTACAATTTTTTTCTTATACGTTTAGGTGAAATACATAGCGAATGTGTATACACGGAATAGGTAAGATTTTAAATTGAGAACATCTCGACATATAAATACAAAAGAGTTGAGTAATATACTGCAAAAAAGAAAAAAAGAAAGACTTGCATGCACACCACTCATTAAATTCTGTTGAATTACACATCTAACACCTAACACCTGGACTTCAATTATTACATATTTGTCTTCTTATTTATGCATGAAAGTTGTATTTTTTTTCTGAGAAAATAAAAAAAATGATAGTTTTTTATGTGATATGAAAGATTTTGGGTGGTAATATTGTAAAAATCAAAATTTATGGCTAGATAGAGAAGAGAAAGAAGGAAATTAACAGCGTCGAAAGCTTACAATCGGAAACTATATCTATGAGACTATGGCGTGGGTCTAGCTCATTCAGGCTTTGACTGAGTCAAAGCAGGCTCGGCAGGGCCGAACCCGCTAAATTTTTTTTTTCATAGACATGCCTATCTATTATAAGTGGGCTTATGGACCGTCAGACCAGCTGCCTAATTCCTAGATCTTTAATTCAGTCCCTACTAAAAAGTTTGGCACTAATTTGACCTTTTTAAAAATCTGAGACTAAATTGGCCCTTTCACATTGTCAAAAAACCATTTTGACTATTTTCTCATTAAAGTAGGCTTGATCAATGCTATCATTAGTATAATGCTATTGCAATCAACTCTGCATGGCATAACTAGGAGAGGGGAAAGTCAAGCTTGCTCTTAGGCTAATGGGGTCATCTTAAAGTATTTGGTGGTATTGTGATGAATATTACGTGTGAAGTTCACACATGCGAATTGGTGGTATTTGATGGTATTATGGTGATATTGTGGTAAATACCTTCACTATACCCACAATACCACAACAATACCACCAAATTTACATCTATTTTTTATTTGCACATAATACTTTTTCCATCTGAAGAGCCTATGTAACGAACAATCATGCATGACTTAACCAATAAGATAACTTTGAAAATGGTGGCAGCGATAAGCCTTTTACCTAAAATTAGCCCAATTATATCATTTAATCAACTCCCAATTGTTGGATATGGGCTCAAGCTCCCACTTTTTAGGAGTCATGAAACCCTATGCCTTTGATCTCGTCCTCCCCAAAACCACATACTTCAAAAGGACACCTTTTGTCATCCGACCGCTCAATCCAACAAAACGTGGTCTCTCCACTGCCCACCAAAGCTCTCGCACCCTATCCATCTATCCTCTCCCCCATCATTAACCCCGACAGAGCCAACTCCGAAAGCTGAAAATCACAAGTGGCTCCAATTTTTCTGCGCAGAAGAACGCAGTATAGGAAGTTATGGCGCAGTCCATGCTAATGTCTAGCTTCGGCGGCCACCTTGTGGACTGCAACAGAGACCCATTGCTTAGAACTCAAATCCGCCGACTTCGCCCTTCACCTCTCTCTCATCTCTTCCTTTCTCGGCCTTCTCCCTCGCAATCCACTTCACCTTCTTCCTATGCTCCTCCTCTTGCCGTCTTCAAGTCCAAAACTAAGGCTCCTTCTAGGAAGGTAAGATTAGAGTATTGAATTTGATACTGTATCAGAAATGTTAAGGGTTGTTCTTGACAGGTAGAGAAGGATAGGCCGAAGGTGGAAGATGGCATCTTTGGAACATCAGGTGGTATTGGTTTTACCAAGGCAAATGAGCTATTTGTTGGCCGAGTTGCCATGCTTGGTTTTGCAGTAAGTTGATTCTTTTTTGCTTAGCTTTAATGAGGTTTTTCTTTTTTGGCAAATAAGCTCTGGTTCTGATGCATTCATTTCTTTGAAGGCATCTCTTATAGGAGAAGGAATCACTGGGAAGGGAATACTGGCGCAGCTAAACTTAGAGACAGGAATACCAATTTATGAGGCTGAGCCACTCCTACTTTTCTTCATTCTCTTCACACTCCTTGGAGCAATAGGAGCTCTTGGCGACCGTGGAAGTTTCGTTGATGATCCTCCCACCGGGCTTGACAAAGCTGTCATTGCTCCAGGAAAGGGCTTTCGTTCTGCTCTTGGACTCAAGGAAGGAGGTACTAGACAAAAGGGGCATTTAGATACTGACCACACAATCGTTTTGTATTTACATATCAAAACTTCCATATTTACGTGCATACCACTCAAATCTTTCGTATCACACCAAAAACAAAAAAAGGAACTACTTTTATTTAGTTTTTAAGTGAAATACAACTTTTCAAGCGTAGGTTCATGACACCGGTGTTATAATTGTATATATCAAACTTTAGGTGTTAGATATGTAAATACAGAGGAATTGTTTGGTATGTACGCAAATTTCAAAAAAAAATAAACCAGTAGAATTTTATATAGTTGTAATATACGATGCATGAGTAGTATGTGAAGACAGAAAAAATTGTCTTTCAATTTGCTAAGTACTGTCTTACATTCTATGCAAAATTTGGTATATGCTATCTAAAGCCATGACTTCCCCTTCTTTTCTACACTACTTCTAATTATAATTTTTAGCCATACATCACTTGGAATCACGAAATAATAGAATCTCCAGACATATTTATTATATTTTACTTATGCTTGAAGATATGTGACTATTGTTTCTATGACTAAAAGTCTTAGTCATAACAATTTATATAAGGGCAATTTACATACGTAGAACCCAATTCTGATGCATTTTTGTATTTCGCATCTAAACCTTCATTTTAACAGGCCAAGCACCCAATTTTTTGCAATCACATCAAAAACAGCACTAATTTCACTTCTCCACATTAAAATCCACATTTTTATACATTGGGAATGTGTTTTCCCTTTAAATATGAAGGTATAGGTGTGAGATACGTAAATGCATGAGAATTTGTAAATTTCCGTTTATGAAAGTGTTCAAGTTTTTGGAAAAACATTTGGAGCTGCAATTTTAACTTATCTTATCCTTTTGAAGGCCCCCTCTTTGGATTCACAAAGGCGAATGAACTCTTTGTTGGGAGATTGGCGCAGCTGGGGATAGTCTTCTCTCTAATTGGCGAGATAATCACAGGAAAGGGAGCTCTTGCCCAGTTGAACATTGAGACAGGAGTGCCCCTCAATGAGCTCGAGCCACTTGTGCTCTTCAATGTCGTTTTCTTCTTTTTCGCTGCACTGAATCCTGGGAGTGGTAAGTTTGTCACTGATGAGGATGTGGAGTGAGAGGCTGAGACCTGTTATGATTGGGTGTATATCCTTACTTTGCTGGAAAAATGAAGGTTTATTTTCTGCAGTTAAGAGATGTCCTTGAGAGATAGAGTAGGATTTCTAAGTTCTATGTTCTTAGCAATTCAGTATTATCTCTGAGTTGCAGTATTATCTAGATGGAAGTGTTATTCAGATAATAGAATTATGGAGCAAATGTTTTGTGTTTTCTTCTTTTTTAATTACTATCTGTTTCTTAAGAGAATAATGATGTTTAGAATGAAATGATGAAAGCTTTGCATGATTGAATTTTTGCTCTTAAGCTTATTTTTTATAAAATGGTGAAACCTAATGTCTATCATCAAGCTTGGCTTGTATACTAGTTCATGGAGAATTTAGATTCAATTTAATACAACTTATAGTAACCTTCTACCATCAAGCATTAATTGAACTTCCTCTAATTTCTATAATGGTTTTATAAGCATTTGTCCCAAGCTAATGACATTAATTTTAGTTTATTTTACAACTATCTTTAAATATTCCATTGATCTTTCATAGATTTATCTTCAATTTTATGAATTATTCTATAGTGACTGGCTTAGTAAAGGCATCAACTTAATCTTTGATCTTCAAATAATATATTTGAATTTTCTTTTCCATGATTTAGTATCCAATGCAATGAAAATAAACATAAAAAAATTTCCTTCTTTGATGATGCATAGGCTTCCTTGTTAATGTCAATGCTGGTCTATTGTCTCCATAAAATTTCATGTGGAGTCACTTTAAGAACATTCAAACCTTTTAAATAGCTTGCTTAGCCATATTACACAGCACATGCATGAAGATACTGTAATCTATTCAGCTTCACAGCTAGAGGATAACAATTTGTGATCTTTGAACACCAAGTGAAGGAGATGCAACCAACTTAAAATGCAAAATCACATGTTTTTTTTCTATCCTTGTGATATCCAACACAATCACCATTCGAGAAAACAACGTGCTGATATTTATTAGAATGGGTGTATACTAATACACGAGTTGGTATACTTTTGATGCGACAAAAGTTCCTCTTAACTTCAAGTGTCTTGATCAACTTTCATATACAAAATATGTGGCCTTATACTTGTTACATATCTTAAATTTCAATTAAACTTTTGAAGTTGGGTCAATCCATTGTCTTCTTCTTTATTCTTTGATATTTTTATTTTATAATTTTCGCTCCATCCTGAATTTAAAATCTCTTTTTGGTAAGATTCTTGAACGATGAAAGCATCCTCCTTTTGCTTCAATTAAAATATCAATAGACAGATTTCCAATGTGTGCAATCATGAATTCTTGCACTATTGTTTGCTTGAACTTTCTGAACATAAATGGATTCTTACCTATATGTATAAGATCATCTCATTATAGTCGATGCATCCCTTGTACTTATATTAAGTTTACCACCATTAGTTCTTTGAACCTTTCAACTTTTTCTTTTGCATTTTTCATTAGTTTGTATATCCATTTGGCATCAATGAATTTTTGCCTAGCAAGAAAATAAGTAGAGTTTACTGGTCACTAAATAGCTTACTCATTCATATTATCTTCCATTGCTTTTGATTTTCATTCAAAGACTATAGTAAAGAGGTTAGAACTAGAGGTGGTGTAAGATTTTATAACTCTAAGGGTACTTGATTTTCATATTGAATTATTTTACTCTTGTTTTATCAATCACATGCTCTTTTTTTTTGTTGAACTTCATATTTTTACTTATTACAACTCTAAAGGTGTTAGAATCAAATATTTATATGCTTCAATCATGTTGCCCTTGGTCATTTTCTCATTTGATTCATGTTTTAAGAATGGTATTTATAAAATCATGCATGCTTGTACCACAAAAATATGTATAGATTTTCTAAGTTGAAAGCACAAGAATAAAATAAAAGCACAAAGAGGGCATCCATAAACTACACACAATTTTCCTCTAAATTCATTTAATTAGCATTACTTTATGCTAATAACATTGCAATGCCTTAGAAGAGAATTGCTTTCATAGCACTCACAAAGAATAGTATGTATGAATTTCCATGCTAGCGTGCACGAAGATAGCCAAATAAGTATCATAGTATAATACATAAAGATACAATAAAAATCTTTACAATACCTTATTGTAAGCTAAAAAATATTCACAATCATACGTAACACAATATGTGTAGAGTATGTGGTCAATGAAGACCCAACTCTTACAATCAGTATCGGGATGTAAGGGAATATATGCACTCCATGAACAAATTGATACTCATTCATATAATGCTTGTTTATATTTGTTTATTAATATAAAAAAGATTGTCATATAATAGAATAAGTTTAAAAATTGTTTGCTTGTTCACTCTATTCATGAACATGCTTGTTTTTTTAGCAAGTATTTGGCTAAGATAATGGCGTCTAAATACTCATTTGATGACTTATCATGTGTTATGATATCAATTTTTTATTATATATGTTAGTAGATATATATGTATGATGAAAAATAAATAATGCCAAATTTTTTAATCTATAAAATTGATACGCCACCAACAAATTTTCATCATCCGACATGAATCTCAAGACGATATTTTAAGAAGGAAACATTTAAATCTTGATAAAAAGTCTTTCAGAACTCCAATTTCAACAAGCTTATAGTCAAACTGACCGACTTGATGAGACAGACCTAATAATATGAAAACTAGCCCAATCCGAGTCAAATCAAGCTCAAATCAAGTCATTGAACAACACTTAGGTGATTTCCAGACACATTTGTAAGGTCAAACAGTTGTCGAATATGATAAGTTTATACTCGAATCAAGCGGCTCGATAAGAGGAATCCAACGAGCCCAAGATCACTTAATTTTGACATCATTAAGGCACTCAAATGTCCATTAAATGACATATGATCAAAGGAAGCTCTCTGGATCGTCCGATCAAAATGATTCATATTTCTACATTAATTGCACCCAAAACACTATAAATAAAAATCTATCTCTCTCATGAGAGAAAGCTGAAGTCTAGAGAGAGCCCGAGACATTGAGGAGAAGCTGCAGCTCAGCATCACCGCCGATCATTGTCAACCACCATCAACCTCCGTCGTCGACCACCGTCGACCGCAAAAAGCCACCACAGACATCCAACGACCACCACCGACCGTCGTCGACCACCTCCAACCGTCGTCAACCACTGTCAACCGTCATCAATCATCACTAACCAGACGCCGTCAGTCTACGTTGTAACCTAAAAAATATAATTACCTTTTTCCGTCTGTGGGACAAATGATTTCTTTAATCATCGATCATTAATGGATTTCCGCAATTGGGCCAGACCCGTGGTTTTTCCCTTACGGGTTTTGCACGTAAAAACTTCTGGAGTCTTCACCGCTTGTTTCCCTTTTATCTGCGTGTGTGCTGACTTTTGTACAACGCTAAGATAATAGTCTGTTACTCTACCACCGTGAATTTTCTAGCACGCATCAAAAATAATATTTGTCCAGCAACTAAGATATATGTTTAAATTATTAGCATCAAACATATAATTTATTAAAGTTGATTCAAGTTTAAGATTTTAAATCTTGAACACTTCGAACTCCATAATGTAGTGCTCAGCTCAACTCTACTCGTTTGCCACCCTAATTGTAGATAAGCTCACCAACTATAGCGACCTGGGTTCGAATTCCATAAATTCACAGCTTATCTTTCGAAAAAAATTATGCAACACAATTATATTCTCTTATCTAAAATTTCAATTTGATTTTTAATGAATAAGGCCAACACCAAGCAAAATTGATAGTGGTTTCGCGAAAATAAAAATGAATTAATTTTATTGTAATTTTAGTCTTTATTGAAAATGTATTTACAAAACTCAAACTATTAAAATATATTAATCTAATTTATATTTATTTGCATAATTGAAAAGTAACGGTTCCATGGTGTAGTGGTTAGCACTCCAGACTTTGAATCTGGCGACCTGGGTTCGAATCCCGGTGGGACCTTTTTATTGCTATAATTATAAGTCCAATGGCTTTTTAATTTTCGAAAATTATGATTGTACATTTAGCTATTTAGTTATTTTTCATGTTTATATACTTATTTTAGGAAATAATAGTTCAATAACTTTTATTTTAATTTGTTTGATAGATCTGGTTTGGTTAGAAATCCATAATATTATTTGTTAATTTACTCAATAATGATTCGATTATCATCATATAAATCAAGCTCAAATGATTAGAATGCAAATAAATGAAGCTTGAAGGTGAACCCAAAAACTCTACTCGGCTCATTTCACTTGTTATGGCTATAATTGATCCTCAACAAGTCGAGTATATGTTAGATTGGACTTGACTAGGTAATATTATAAATTGTTCATGTTTTACTTGAGCTTGTGTAAAGCTTTTACAAGTATGTTCAGGATTGACTTGTTTAATATCTTTTAATACTTAAATTTGATTTGTATTTGATTTGCTTATATCAACTAAACAAGTATTTATTTAGGTCTTTATATAAAATTTTCAAAAATAACATTACAAATCTAATCATTTTATACAAATTAAATAAAAATATTTATATTATAACTAATTTTTTTGCAATAAAAAAACATATTTAGGTTCTAATAATTTAATTTATTAAAATGAAAAAAATAAGAATGAATTGAAGAAGAATTTGCATTTGATTAGCTATAACATTTGATGCATTGGCATTTACATAGTCATCATACAACTCATGTAGTAACTTATGAGTAATTGTAACATGCAATAAGAAGATAAATATTAGACAAGGCAAATTTAATCAACTTCATTTTATTTTTGGAATCAAATACAACAAAAATAAAAATTAGAAGGTTATATTCATCATTTGTCAAACTTGATTTTCATGTTCATGGCCATTAACCACATATAGTCAATCACATTAGTAGAACTTTCATGAAACACATCTTTGATTTTCCAAAGGGTCATAAAGAAATAAATTTGAACTCAAATCCTAAAATAAAGTTATCATACATATAACAACAAAAATTAAATAAATAAGAAGACATAAAAATGAAATAAAAGATTTATGTCATTTGAATTGATATTAATAATTGTATCAAATAAACCCGAAAAAAGAGCAAACATCTTCTGCATTCCAATCTTTTTTTGCTAAATAGAATGTGGATGGATATCTGTATTGATTGTGAGGAAACACTTCTAAACTTCAACGCACATGAAAGTATAATAGATGTTACATTTCATCTAGTAAAATAAGGAAGTATTAACGTCATGTTTGGAAGTTGAAGTTGCTTGGAAATATCATTAAATATTTAATCTTGCACTCGGAGTTGAAATTAATTTTATATTTTCTTTCTCATTATGGATAATATTGCTTATCATAGAGAGTTAATCGTGAATTATAAGATTTAATATGTGTGCACACATTAAAAAGAAAAATCATTGAAAAGAAGCTTTTTCTGAAAGCTAATGCTATCTTTTTAAAGACTCGTTACTTCGTCATTTTATGAAGCATTTTCTACAATCAAACAAAAGACTTTGCTTTCAATTCGTCACTCTTTCACATTGTTATAAATAGAATAATAATTGTCATGAGCTCTAAGCAATGGATTAACATCAACCAAATTTAAGACCATCTTTCATAACTTCCATTATTCGTCAGTAAAATATCTAGAGATAAACATATATTGAATTATTTGTCCTAACTTCCATAAGATTGTTGTTATGCTTAACCTTTTAACTTAAGTTAACAGCCCTTGTAACATTTTCTTCTCGATCTCATAGCTGCTAATGCACTCTTGTTATGTCATTCCATGTGAAATCTTCTCATATTGTGGGTTAGAAGCCTTCATTAATGTGTAATACTTCATACTCTATAAATCGAAAGGTAACTCTATAAATTATCTAACGAGTCGAGTCGGGGTAGGGTTGAGCTTGGCTTGCTAGCTCATCGAGCTCAGTTCACGAACTAGTTATCGAGCCAAACTCGAGTCGGCTTGAATCACTTGCACCCCTACTCCAAGCCATGTAATGTATGGAGCTCAAAATGACCATACTGAGAACAATCATATACTTTAATGTAACAGAATCCTAGGTGATCTCACCCATGCGTGAACTTGGTAAGAGCCTGGTTGATATAAAGAGGTGCGACGCCTTAGACTCACAAGTCAATACATTAATGGGGAAGTTGAGGAGATTCCAATTGTGCTTGTTCCAATGTGTTCCTGAATCAGGCTACTTAAGATTCCATTAAACCGCATAAAAATCTTGATATGTGGCCAGAAAATAAGTATATTCATCAACAAAGAAAGCCATTAGCTTGAATAGTAGTATTATTAATATTCTGGTGAGTTTCATTTATTATAGGGTTGAGAAAATTTCTAAGGGTCTAAGATAAATGTTTTCTTTTTAAGAGTTTGCCTTTTTTTCTTATAATATTTTTGAGTTTTGAGAATTGTCTAAAGTTTTTGGTAATTTTCTCAGTTTTAGGGTCAAACGTGACTAATTCAACGGATACAATCATATGCATGCAACCTAAGACAAAGTAGTGACCGTAAATTAACAATTAACAAAATTTAACATAATGTATAGCACAAGATAATACAATTTACAGAAAGTAAGCTACAAAAATTTTGTTTTTTTTGAATTTTTCTAAAATCAAATTACAACACATTCTTTTATGCCACCTAAGACAAAGTAGTGACCCGTCTTTTAAGTGGGTAATAAAAATTCTTAGTTCATTCACCAAATTCTTCGAAATTTACTACTCCTTATTCTATTCCTAGTCATAAAAAACATTATAGTCTTATATTATATTTAAATCCCCTTAACCTTGGTTCACATTTCCTCATATGATTATAATCTTCCAATGACATTATTTCTATTCCACCAAGAATTTATTTGTTAACATATTTGTCTTCAAGTCTACGATCAATAGTCCTAGATCATAATTGATTTTAACATTTCAAGTTTACAACTAGAAAGTAAATTAAGTTTTTAAGATTAACACATCAACATGTCATAATTTGCTCTAAGAAATTTTCATGAAATGAACTAGATTTTGACATTACTAATTCAAAGAAGTAGGAAAACTAGTTTATAAAGATATGTTTTGAAAACATAATAGATTTTATTGAAAGAAAAGTCAAAGTTTACATAGATAAAGAAGAGATCAAACCTAGTTTGAATATCATTTTGTTCTAAGATTATTATCCCTTTTATGATGCACTGTTCTTCTTAACCTTCTCTCAAATATATGAACACAAAATAACATTCACATTCAGACATACAACATGATCTCCAAGCCTTCTCTTATGTTCCTCCAATGTCTCTCCTCATCAAAATTCTTTACTTTTGTTTCTAGAGAGTTCAAGCCCCATGTGTCAATTCATATTTTGTAAGCATTTTCATCGGATGAATCATCACCAAATCAAAAAAGCCATCTTAAGTTAGTGGGTAGCATCGGGATGCTAGCAAGGTGTCTCTGGGGCAATGACAATGGGCGCGACGCCTCTAGGTTTAGAGTTGCATTTCGTTAATATTATTCATCATTTTAAGTCTTCTCGTGTGACAACACTACATTGTGGGCACTTTGGCACTAGTCCCTAACACTAGGATACTTGAAGCCTGGCACTACAAGGTCCTACTCTTTATATTTCAGACATAGAAAGCCTAGGCGCTAGCCTTCTCTACTTAGCTTCATTTCTTCTAAGTGCTACATTTGTTCCAGTATACTGCACAAATACACAATATATATCCACATAAAATATAAAAATTTAAGAAAAAAACATGTATTAAATATACTATAATACTACATCATATTTTACACATATCATTAAACTAAATCTAAACGACTTAAACAAACTTCCATGGGGAATGTAGTTGCTTTGACCAAGCTTATAATCTTAGAAGGTTAATTAAATATTCAGTGTGTTATATACTAGCTTTTTTTGACACGTGGAATCAATGAGTCCATGTGATTCATTTTTAATTGTTGATAAATAAAGAATGATATGTTTGGTGAAATTCATTCTTTCAAAATTCTCAAATATATTGTATTAGTTAATATTGATGATGCTTCTTTTAAAGTTTTAAAAAAATAATAAAATGCACCAAGAAGACTGATATTTTCCATATATAATGAATTGTAAATATTGGTTTGATCTTACACTATAATAATAATTAACCGAGCATTCCTTGCGATGAAGATACAAATAGTTATTTATGTTATCATATGAGAGAATTGTATATAAATGATTGTCTATTTGCATGTTTCGAACAAATATAATATATATTATTTATTATAAAATGATTGTTAATAATTTCAAAATCAATAAAATTCAAAGGAGAAAATGTGTGTGAGATGAATGGGAAGAAATGATATATTATGACATTTAAAATGATATGAGAATATTATCTTGTTTGTTTATTATCTTGTAATGCCCCAACCCAAAAAACTAAATTTCAATGTACCCTTTCTAGTTAGAGGCATTAATCCTTGTTGTTTATAGTAGATTCATAGATGTTTCATATGTTTGTCTATCATACCCTTGCTACTTTATATTTTTTATATGTTTTATTTATTGCTTATAATGAAGTAGTCATCTTAATTTATTGTTGTAAAATTTCCTACATAATTAAATTAATCTTAATATTATGATACTTTCTTTTTCTGCACTTGTATGAATTTATATATGTCATATCACAAGTCTGCATGAAATAATATATTTCTTACAAATTATACCTGTGGAAAGTTTATTATGCTTGTGTGTAATGATTTGTAGATCGGTGAAATTCTTTGAGATATTGGCTAATCGAGTCGACAAGCTTACAGAGTGATAACTCAACAATAAATCACCGGGTTTCTTTGGTTTTCAATTGACCTTCCTGATTTCAAGTTGTTTATTAAAAGTGACTATATAAATATAAATGAAAACTAAATGGTAAAAACTTGATTCAGAATGATTTCATGTTTTCTTATGATAAGTAGTCTATTTTATATTCACAATATTGTTGTTGTCTAAGATGTTATATATTCACATAATAGTTGTCTCTATTTGTAATGCATACTATATGTCTACTTTCCCTTGTTAATGCTTTAATAAATAACTGTAATTTACTGAGTTTGTTTTTCGAACCCACTTCTTGATATTTTGCATAACAGGTTCTATTCAGACACCAACAAGATCATCTCCATCAAAGCAAGATTGACACTTTTAGATTTTCTATTATTGGTTTTTTCTTAAGTATTTGCTTTAGCTATTATGTTTTCCATTTAGGGTCTAGGAACTCGTTCCTTAGTCTTTTTAGTTTTGATTCGGTCAGTTTTCTGATTTCCTTCAGTTATATCAGTGGAATATTCATCATAAACAAAATGTATATTTTCTTATTTATTTGCATGAAATCTATCTTTAAGAATACAAAACATGTTCAATTCATTATATTATGTTCTGCATTATCAAAGTGTGTGACAATATAATGTTACATGAAGTTTAGAAGTATAAAGAATTTAAAAATTTTAATAAAATTAAAAAGTTAATTATTGAATCTAATCAAAACTCAACAATAGTTTCAAGTCTTTTAAAACTTGGAAAATTCTCTTGATCTTCAACACTAATTTTCTCCAATAACTAACATGCCACCAATTTGTGTGCTATGAACCATGAACATGAGCATGAGGACATACACATGACTTTACAAAAATACAACGATAAGTCATAATTATAAAAAGTAGAACACTACAAGTCATAAAAGTGTTATATATTTAATAAATTATTAATATGAAATATATTATTTTCTATTATTCTCTACTGAAAGATCACTTGATGAAATATTATATCATAAAAGAAACTTTTAAAGATAAAAAGAACCAAACACGACTAATAATAAAGAAAAAAATTATCGAAAAAACATTCATTCATATTCTATTATGTACTTTAAGTTCTTATAATGTCTCGTCATATCAGACATGCAATAGATACGTGTCTAGACATGTTTGAGTTGTGCCGACGTCCTATAAGGACATCAAGACCATTGAGAAGTGTATATGATTGACACCACACGTGCGACATTTTATTAAGAATATTTATTAATTTATTAAATTTATCCTTCAACTACAGAGCTTAAACTTTGAACTATGGGGAGGGCGGGAAATACTCTAAGGGCATTGGTGCAATTTTTAAAGCGTTCGCTGAGAGGTATAAAAGGAGGATGCCAATTTCACGCTTTAAACCGAAAGACCTGAAGCTTCTCTCGTTCTGTTCTCAGTCCATTCTTTCTACTGGGTTTGTCTGTAGGGTTTCAAATCTGCGATTCACCCGGTGAGAAGGTTCTTTTGGCTCAACATTCGACCTCTCATAAGCTAGTGGTTCAACTCCAGAAAAGGTTCTGAACCTTCGATGTCGGCGATTGATGGAAGCGCCAAGCGGAGAGGAAAGGATGGTGGATCTCTCAGATCGGAGAGGAAGAGGCGTGGTGAAGATGACTTCGATGATGATCTAGATCTCTCCAGGTTGGGTAAACAAGTTTTGTAACTTTGTGGTTAGGTCTCGATTTGATCAGGTTATTTATGCTTGAAACATCAATGGATTCGGGCATTTGCAGTGACATCAAGGGAATCATCTCGGCGTTACAACAGATAAAGGACAAAGCGCAAAAAGATGGACAGAAGAAGAATGAAGAGACGATCATGAGGTCCATTTTTCCTTGTATTTTGAACTCTTTTATTTGATTTTTGGGATATCGCTCTGTTTAAACTTTGCGGTGTTGGAATACTGGGATTGGGGGGAGGACTGATCAAGTATACTTTGTAGGATTTCTTCCAGGAAATCTTATCGAAACGTGCCTTTGGGAATTGAGATAGTACACTTGTGCACCGGATTTTATTGATGTTTTAATTGTATGAAGATTTTTTTTTTCATCGAGGCTGGGAACGTGTTTCTTGTTTTGTAGTAGGATTGAGTAGTTTATTTGATCTAGTAAATAAACAATTCATGATAAACTAAAATTTCCTTTTCAGTCTTTTTTTAAAGTGCTTTAAATTAGAAAGAACAACATTTTTTTAGTTGGATGGAATGTATACTTGCATATCGAGCATATATTCCATTTAATTCAAAAATGATTATTTTTATGACAAATAAACGTATTGTGAGTAGCCTAGTGGGAGATGTCCCTTTTTTGTCTTATAGATATGAAATATCGTGTTGCTGGTTATGATTTAGGCTAATTTATTTTGATAGTGTGGCATCGGAGATCAAGTCTATGATAGATGATACAAAGTCAAAGTTTGAAAAAGAAAGGTAATGACAACTACTTATATTTCATTAAATCCTTTTTACTCAGCATTATGGAGCAGAAAAGGCCAAGTTATTAGTTTATGCAAACAATAAGTTGGTTCGGTTTTTTTATTATCCTTGCTTTAATAGGAAAATTAGAGGTCTTTATGGTGCTTTTTATATTTATAACCAATTTTTGGCACATTTTTCTCATCTTTATTTTTATCTGGACCGTTTGATTGTCTCGAAATTTGTGCAAACCATTGTTTGGGTGTAGAATATCAATATTTTTTTCTATCCATTTTTAATTATATTAATCTTACATAATCATGCATAACAATTAAACCAAGCTTACAATTTTCTTAGGTTGATCAGCCTTCGCTATTTTGATCATAAATTTTTTGTCAGTTATCTAAAATCTATGTGCTTATATGTTCTGAAAAGCTAACAAAATTACCCATAGCTTTTATGTTGACAACTTCTCAAATTTTATCTATACAATAATGAAAACTTAAAAAAAATGAGAGTAAAATGCATTATCGTGACAATTTTTAATAAGATGATTACTCTTTAGTAAATTGATCAAACTTTCTTATTTATTATTCAAAATTTATGTTTGTATATTCTGTGAAAAGATAACAAAGTTCTCTACAACATTCATGTTGTTATTTTTTCCTATTTCAACCAATAAGATGGGTAAAATTCACAAAACACCGAGAGAGAAATTTTCAGTTTTGTACTTGGATGTTTTCCATAAAGCAACTTTACCATTTCATGACTATTTATTTTTAATTCAAGATAGTTTGTTTTCATATTCACTTTATAAATATATGCATAATAATTATGATAGAACTAATATTGTTGTTATGATTACTTTATATATATTATGATTCATTATCGCCGTTACGTCTTTTATTCAGTGTTCGACGAGCGATCTATATTTAGCAATTTTGACATATTCGCATAGTCCATTCAACAAACGGATGATGTTTCTGATGACTTTGGGTATAATCAAGGCATATTAATTGACCTCAATTTACATGTTGCTTCAACTATTGCCGTTCATTTTCTCACATTTGTTCTCAATTGAAGCGAAATTATTGTTGAGGCCAGCATCAAGATAAGGGTTGACCATTGACAAGATGTTGTAGCTACTGTTTTCCCCTCTATATTGTAGTAGTCTAAGGAAGACATTTTTCCTTACATGTCCAAGTTTTTTTCATTTTACCAGAAACAAAAAATAAGCAACGTCCATTCCTCTTGAGAAATTGAAGATATTTTTCCTTTTTTTCCCGGACGATAGCTTGTCTATCATTTCTCAATTTTCTTATCCTGTTTTGCAATGCTTCTTGTTGGGGGATCTCAAACCTGTCATTCGAAGGTTCTTTTTATAGTGGTAATAAAACTTGATTCAAAATTATCTAATTAATTACAAAATATGACAAAATTTAATAAAATCTCTTAAAGTTTAAAAAAAAATGTCATAACTAAGTATTTAACCATATATAATCTCAATCCAATATTTTCAATGAAAAGCAGATCATGTGAGAATGACTCCATGATAGTAATCATTGCTTTGGTAAGTTTTGGTTCCGTCCATCCTGCCTTTGGTAAGCAGGCTTCATATGGTGATCTCGTGCTCTTTGGTATTAAGATGGCACTGTGTTAGATATGTTGCTTTACACATGTTGCTTTTGGTTGGAAAGCCATGGAGGAGGTGCACATCCAGTTAAAACAATTTACCTTTCAGTTAAAACAATTTACCTTTCTCACTTAATTAAATTCCATACTTTTTAGTATTAAAGCTAACACTGCCTTGCATGATCAGGCAAGTTTTTCTTAAGGCTCTTTCCAAGTGTTCTAAAGAGGTATTCATTTTGATGCTTCAAATTATTGATCAGATCGCACAATATTACTTGACAAATTTAGCAGATTTAGATATTTACATTCTTGAGTTTCAGTATGAGAGCTCTTTGAAGAGCGAATACAACAACTTTCAGGCAGCATACCAAAAGTTCTCGAACGAGAAAGCGGGCCATCTACAGATATTCAAAGGAAGTTGCCAATCCTCTTCTCGTTCTATAAAATTGTTTCTGCTTGCATGGTTTTGTCTTAGCTTAGTTTTAAAAACTGAGTTTAATAGGAGCACACTGATAACAGAACGGTTTGCTTAGCTTTATAACTTGTTAACTGATCATAATGATGCCAATTATGTCCTTGTGCCGAGATATATAAGGGAATACTTGTTTTTATTTTGTGAATACTTTGTTCACGAAAAATTCTCTGAACTTCTTCCTTGTAATTGAACCATTTTACAAGTGTTTAAAAAAGCATCATATGTCTTAAACGTGTAATAAAATTAGCTGCTCAATTAATCAGTAACCTCAGAATTTTGTGCACATTGGCCAGGTATCTAGGGCAGATAAGGTTATGTTTTTTTCTTTTACCTTTTTTTTAGGTTGTCCGCGTAAATGAAGAACAAGTTGAATGTGTATTTGTCTTTTCTTTTCATAATAGTTTTGGAAACAATCAAAACACTTACTATGGTGTTTTTAGAATTTCTTGAGACGTTCATTTGCTTTTGAAATCAAAAAATTGATGCAGTGAATTAAACGTATTTTCTAACATATGCAGTTATATTTGGAAAATAAAAAACCTAAGACAAAAAAACCGAACCAAAAATGCCTGTAGTTGTTTGGAATTAATTTTTTAATTTTTAAATATTTTTTTTCAAATATATATTTGATTTTCTTAATTGTTTTTTAATTTTTGAAAACAAATTTACTTAGATTGGGAAACACTGAAAATATTCTTCAAGTCTGTTTCCTTTTTTTTCTTTTTTTTCCTTTTTTGATGTGACAACCACCTTAGCACTTCCGCTTTATTGGCCTCTGCCATTAATGACACTACAACTTATTGCGATTGTCAGTGGCCACCATCAACACAGGTTTGCCGCCTTGCTGCCTTGCTTCATAAATCAACTTATGCAATATTAAATAAAATTAAACAAACTTATAATGTGTAAATTAAAATATAAAAAGATAGTACGATCTCGATGGTCCCTTAACAACTACACCATACTACAATCTTCCATACCTGTAAAACCTATCGTGAATCTTCACATTATCACGTATTGCTAGCTACGAAGACCTAGGCATAGCTGATAAACTGAATTCAAAATTTTTTTATTTGAATAGCTTTTCAGTCGCTTGAAACTTCGTAGAAGTAATCAACCTAATTTATAATCCGATCCTTCGAGTCTGGGCGTTTATTTTCTCCAGACTAATCCGTTTCAACTAAAAGGCTACTTGCTGATTCCTTCCAAGTTCAGCAAAGATCTGAAGCTCGATGCTCTGCATATCTCTTCCGCTTCTTCTCGCTGTCGCGATTCGTCTCCAAGAGTTTCGGTTGGGTAGAATAGGCTTTATATTAATTATATACACATTGTATTATGTCCTTTCTATCCCTGAGTTATTTACAAATATGTCACAGCTTACTTATAAAAGCCTAGGTTATTTTTATGAAATTTGATGAATGATTAAATAAAGCTACACTTATCTGTTCTTCGTGCTTCTTTCTATCAACTCCTTCCTCTTCTGTTCTGCTCTTCTTCTCATATGGCATTAGAGCCTGCTACCTTTCACAAGGTGGATTCACCTGTGTCTATAGCCACGCAAGATCAACAACAGAGCAATGCCTCCTTCAATCAAATCAAGGAGGTCAATATTCCAAGTTCTCTAAAGTTCTTGATGAGCCATGTCAAGAATGTGGTTACTGCTTCCCTCACAGAGGTTAATTACTTTGTATGGAAGGAGCAAATCGTTAAACTTCTCACCGCAAATGGATATGAATCTTTTCTTGATAGCAACACCCAATCCCATCAAGATTCTTACTCACTGAAAGCAGCACTCAACAAGAAAACCCAGCCTACCTCCTCTGGCATATCATAGGCAAAAATCTTCCTGCAGTCATTCTTTTTACCATCTCCCCTTCTATTCCTCCCTACTTGCTTCATCTCAACACCACTGCTGAAATTGGGAATAACCAAATAATTTCAGTCCACAGATCGATCCAAAGCCATTCAATTGAAGAATGAACTCCACACTGTTACGATGGGAACTATATGACGCAATATCTTACGGTGATCAAAAACCTAGTGGATGACATAGCTGCGCTGGGCTCAACGGTGGACACAGAATATATCATCTATACACCCTTAATGGGTTGCGTCCCAGGTACCAAGGTTTCAAGACCGCAATTCGCACATCTCTCAACCCAATCAAGTTGGAAAATTTTCATGCTCTCCTTCACAGTGAAGAGTGTAATATTGCCAATGAATCAATCAACAACACTCAACACACAACTTTGCCGACTTACAGAAACTGGGGGGCCTCAACCTTCAAGAAGTTCAACCAAGAACTTCACCAACATAAAGATTACTAACAACAACAGCCAACAAAAATTAAAATCTGTCGTCATATGTCAAATTTGTTCAAAAAAATATCACTCTACCATTCAATGCTAGCACAGGACTACTTTACAGTACAAATCTCCTCCCACTGATTCCACCACAACACTCAACACACAATTACAATCACAAGATTGGGTACTGGACTCCGGAGCTACAACCCAGTTCACGCTCCACATTACTAACCTTCAACAACAAGCTCCCTATCAAGTGACCGATCAAGTTACTGTTGGAAATAGTCAGAATACAAATATCAAGCATATTGGTAAGGTTATTCTTCTCACTCCATACAACAGCAAGTTACTTCTTTCCCCTCTTTTTCATGCTCCTCAATTGTCACATAATCTCATTTCAGTTCACCAACTCAATAAGGACAATAATTGTCAAGTTATTTTCAATATTAGTGGGTTCAAAATCCAGGACCTGAGAACCATAAAAACTGTTTCAACTGGAGCTGCTGATTAAGGATTGTATCTCATAACTGCACTTCATACTATCAAATGTCTAATATTTGACATCAGCGATTTGGCCATCCACATCACAATACTACTTCTAAGCTTTTTGATATGATACATTCCGACACTTGGGGACCGTTTTCCTCCCCCTCTTTTGAAGGCTATCACTATTATGTGACTTTTATTGACTCATTTTCTCGTTATTGCTGGTGTATACGATTAAAATATAAATCTGAAATCACATCTCATTTCATTGTTTTTCACAGTATGATAAAAAATCATTTCAACAAAACAAAAACATATTTAAACTGATGTAGGAGGAGAGTATGTGTCCAACGAACTAAACACATATCTTCTTCAATATGGCATTACTCGTCAACTAAGTTGTCCTTACACCCCCAAGCAAAAAGGCATTGCCGAAAGAGACAACTCGCACTTTTTTAAACACAACTCACTTACCCATCTATTTTTGGATGGATGCACTTCACACTGCCACTTATCTCATAAATCGACTACCTTTCAGTAATATATTTAACAAATCCCCTTGTTAAATACTTTATCACAAACTTTGTGAATATCAACATCTATGAACCTTTGGTTGCTTATGTTTTTCGCCGCAACATCATACCATGCAAAACAAATTCTCTCCCAAAGAAGCTATAGCCCTCAACACAAAGGTTATGGTTGCTTTGATATGCAGGCTAAAAAAATTATCATATCAAGGCATGTACATTTCATTGAAAACATTTTTTCTTATAAAATCCAATCCACTTTACAGCCCTCTACTAGTTCCACAACACCTCCCTCACAACCATACTCATTTTTACTTCCCACTTCTACTGTTACTTCCCTTACTCCCGCCTCTACTACTTCTGTCATCATCCCTACACCACAAGCTAATGCTCCCTGCTCAAACTCTACCCAACACATCAGTAACTCCCCAAATACTATTCCCCCTTCTAATTCACCCCATGCAACCTCTCTCTCATCTCTCCCCGACTCTGAACAATCCTCACAACCTCAACTCTCTGCTCGTTCACCAATTGTTTCAAAACCCCATCCCATGGTTACCAAGAGTCAAATCGACAACTAAAAAAATAAAAAAAATATTTGATTTACAACACCACCTTTCTTCTTCTGATGATCCTATCAGTTACAACAAAGCCATAAAACATGCTCGCTAGCGGCAAGCCATGTCCGAAGATTTCCTTGCTTTACAACAACAAGGAACCTAGGATCTTTTACTAGTAATTTCACATCAACAATTATTAGGAAGCAAATGGACGTTCAAAACAAAGTATCATTTTGATGGTTTCATAGCACGATATAAAGCACGACTGGTAGGTCAGAGATTCTCTAAAAAAAAAAAGGTATTGACTACTATGAAACATTTAGTCCAGTTGCTAAATTTCCAACTACTAGAATGATTTTTGCCCTTGCCCTTACAAATAAGTACAAAATTCAGCAATTGAACATCTCTAATGTTTTTCTTCACAACAAACTGGAGGATACTGTTTTTAGTATTCCACTTTTTGCAATTTACTCTATAATCAAAAGTTCACACCAAATAAATCAGATCATTCTTTACTCATTTATAAATGCAATGACATAAGAATGTTCCTGTTAGTATACGTTGATGATATTTTAATCACTGGAAATTCCTCAATCGTTATAAGTACTGTAATTCATAACCTGAGCAGACAATTCAACTTAAAACAACTGAGGGCTATTTCTCAATTTGTAGGATTAAATACCCAACATACTAAAACAGATTATTTTCTCAACCAAACTTCATATTTAGTGGATCTTCTAGATAAAACAAACATGCATAATGTCAGACGAGTTCTTACTTCTCTTTCCAAATACTTATCATAAACATTGACACAACCTCTCCAATTAATGAATCACTAGAGTTCAGACAAATTATTGGATCACTCCAATATTTGATTGTAACTTAGCCCGATATCACCTTCACGGTGAACTACTTAAGCCAGTATATGCATATCCACACTGGTTTACATTTCCAGCAATTAAAAAGGCTACTACGATATTTAAAAAGCACGATCAACTATGGATTACCTATTAATCCCTTTGTTTTTTCACTAATTGCATATGTTGATGCCAACTGAGCTAGTGACTAAAAAGATCGCAAGTTTACTTCAGTGTTCTGTGCTTGCCTCGGATCAACCCTCATTTCCTGTTTTGCGAAAAAATACAACCCACTGTAGCCCGTTCATCGCCTGAGGCAGAATACGGAGCTTTAGCCACTATCACCATAGAAATTATATGGCTTCACACACTTTTATAAGAATTAACGGATCAACAAATTCCTACAACCACTATCTACAGTGATAGTCTCTTTGCTGTTGCCCTTGAACATAATCCCGTATTTCACGCCAGAACAAAGCATATCGAAATGGACTACCATTTTATAAGAGATCACATAAAACTCCAGAAGATTCAACTAAACCATGTTCTCACCGAAGATCAAATTGCGGATATCATTGCAAAGCCGCTTCCTATCAAATGACATCAAGACCTTACTCGGAATCTGACGATCCGAACCTCAGATCATCAATTTGAAGGGGGACAAAAGGCTACTTACCTGATTCCTTCCAAGTTCAGCAATGATCTGAAGTTTTGGATGCTTTGCAGATCTCTTCCGCCTCTTCTCGCTATCCTGATTCGTCTCCAAGGGTTTTGGCTAAGTAGAATAGGCTTTATATTAGTTATATACACAGTATATTATGTCTTTCTACCCCTGGGTTATTTACAAGAATGCAACAGCTTACTTAAATAAACCGCATATTATTCTTATGTAATTTGAGATGAATGATTAAATAAAACTTCACTTATGCGTTATTCGTGCTGCTTTCTATCAACCTTTTCTTCCTCTTTCTGTTCTATTCTTCTCATATCAACTACCTTTTCTGACAGAAAACACGGAGTTTTTTTTCCAAAAAATTGTTTCGATTACAATCTCTATTTCGTACAGTGATATTAACAACTAGTAGTGGATTGTTACTTTTTATGTGCTTTAGCAGATATATTTTCAAAATATGAACTGGATAAGGAGAAGTTGTTGTCACGCTATGAGCAGATGAGTACGTTGTACGAAGTTTTCTTCCCTGAGTTGAACTATTAAAATGCCACTAGTCTAAATCCTTGGCTTTGGCGTTATTTTTTACTTATTTAGGAAAGAAAGAGAAGGCTGCGCTGGCTGAACTTGAGAGGGCCTTCACTACCAAGATAGCGAGTGCGGAAGAGGCTCTGAAAAGAAAGAAGCAGGTGATTTTCTTCTTCTTTTGGCTTTGTTTTGTTTGATGGAAATAAAAGAGAGGAAATGGAAATTGAAATGTTAAACCAATGGCGTTGAAATTGATTTTTATAGTGATTTTGATTTGGAAGATTTAATTGAGTTTCATTGAAACTGATCCAAATTTTGTTTATATTTTCAGATTTGATAGCATTTTGAGTCTTGGTTAAGCTTCTGCATAATTTCGGGTGAAACTCACAAGTTTCACCTCAAATGTTTCTGTTGAAACTTCACATAAATTCACAAGTGCTCGTTAAAATTATGGTTATGTATTTCATAATTTAATTCTAATTAAATAATTCCAATGTTCTCATACTTTAAATCTTTCTTTTTATAACTAACTTTAATAAAAGAGTGACTGAAATCATATTGAAATTGAAGCCCTAACTGGCGAAAATATTGAAACAGAAAAAATCATACAAGGTGCCCAAAACCAGCATCATGTTTAAAACGTTAATTTTAAAACCATAGATTCAACTTATGTTATGTCAAGAAAGGCAGAGATAGACCTAAAATACTTGGGCATATTGTATAAAAAAGATCTTAATATGCTAAAATTAAATGAAAATATGACACTCAATATGATACAATGGAGAAAAAAAATTCATGTAACCTGACCCCACTTAGTGGGATAAAAGATTACTGTTGTTTTGTTTTTTAATTGAGGAGAATCTGATTAAATATTTTGTCTTTTTTTGTAGTCGAAAGATAAATTGAATTGTAATTTGATAAATTTTTCATCATATATTTACTCGGGATTGAGAAACGTTTTGTCCATGTGAAAAACACTTGTCCATATTTCATAAGTAAAACCAATTAACTAAGATCATCAGAACCAAAAAAATTAATATGAATCTGTGAAAACCAAACAGAACATATTAGTCAGCTGAACATCTTTCAGTGCGAGACAGAATCCCTAAATTCATGCTATGAGATAGTGTTTTTATCATTTTTTAAAATAGGCAATTTGTCTTTTGCGATAGTGTTAACATTTGTTTCAATTAGAATAGTTTATACATTTGAAGCTAATTCATTTATCGTAATAGAATGAAATCTAGATCTTTTTTTTTTCTGGAATTTGTTCCCAACTTTTATTTTATTTTATTTTATTTCTAGACCAGATTGCTCTGAACTAATCTTCCACCCTTATGATTTACAGGATGACAAATCCTTCAGCTTCTTGCGAAAGTCGCTTGGTTCTTTTCTGGAGGTTGCTTCAGATGATGATTAAGCATCTAATTGTTTCTCAGATAATTTTTTTTTTATTCTTCATAAGTTTAGAAAACCAAAAACTTCTCTATACCAGGCAAAGCATATGAGTCTATCTTTTTTTTTTTTTTCTTCGCTTTGTTGAGTCCTCTGATCTGAGACTGTATCAAGTATTGGTCTTAGCCTTTACTTTGCAGCACTGTTTTGTGCTGCTTTCCTTATAATCCTTAGGCTCTGTTTATTGGTTATGAGTTTCATGGATTAATATGAGCTTTTTCAAGTCTTTCTTCATCTCCTTTCACTCAAATTTTAAGCGTTCAAAGAAAAAAAAAATTTATGATATCTGAGGAAGTAACTCCAGATTTATTTTGCATTTGTTATTTTTTCTCATTTTTTAAAGTTAACTCCAGGTTTGGGGAGGGTAAATATTTATAGTGGTGATAGCTAGCAAGGTTTTTAAACTGAATAGAATGGTATTTTTCAGTTAAGGAAGCCTTAAATTAAGGAAATTGTTTGTTTTCCATGTTTTGGCTCCAAATTATTTATTTCACATGTGTTCTGCCATTCACGTTGTGTCATCAGGCGGCAAGCTCTTAATGAAGTGAAGATTGGAAGTTGCAAACGGTTTTTTATCTTTAAAACGTCAAAATTTGAGCAAGAATGCATTATGTAAAAACTTAATAATTAGTGTCTTAGTTTCTTAAAGTTTCTCCCAAATGCTTTTAATTTGAACTGAAATATTCGGTGCTCCACATCGCCATCCTAACTATTCGCACTAATTTCTACACATTATTATGAGGCCCCACTACATACGCAGGGACCTCCGTCTGTACATATGCAGGGCTTGCGAACTGACTCAAGCTTGGCTTGTTATCAGGTTCATGAGTTGAGCGTATCAAACCATGAGCTCAAGCTCGAGCTCAATCTTGAGGTCGTTTTTTAGAAGAGCTTGAGCTCGAGCTCATCCTAGCTCGACTGGTTGGCTTGCAATCCGACTTGATTTTGATGTATTTTTTGGTAAGTTGTCGTTGCATCCCCCTCCTCCTCCAGCCACCAATACCATCAAGTTTGAGCACGCTGAATTATTAGTTTGAGATTACGAGCCGGTTGCTATCACTACGAGCTCACAATTTGGCAAACGAGCCAAGCTCAACAATGACATGGCTCCAACTTGACTTGACTCGACTCGTTTACACCCCTACATATGTTCACTTTATGTAATATTTTTTCATGTGCATGTGAGACCTGTGTGAGGGAGAGCGGGCGGCCAACACCATCCATAGATGTTGTCATCAAACATCTTGTGATTCGGTGAACTAGCATAACAGAACACAAAATTTAAATTTAAATTATTCTATGATTCATTAACTTATTTAATTTAAATTAATATTTATGAATTTCTATTATTTACAATTAATATTAAAAAAATTTAAATTAATATTAATTATTATTTTTATGATATGAAGCATATATTTTTAATTACTTAAGATTAGATTTGATTTCAAAGATTTAAACTTTATTCAGTTTTTTGTGTAACTTCTTAAAAAGTAATTTTTGGTTTATATTTTGATCTGTTGATGAGTGAGTTTAGTTTAAGGTGTCAGTCATAATATGACTCTCTGCTTAGGAATAATATTACGTGTGTTTGCACGGAAAGTACATCAATGGTGCTGATCAACATGGACAAAAAAAAATCCAAACACCTCTTGTATCTCCATCGTTCGACATACATGCACCGATTGTGCGAAATGTTTGCTCGTCTGCTTGCAAGATTACTAGTAGTGCTTTTGCTCAATTGCAACTACGTTCTCATTATTTTATATAACTAAATGTGAAAATAGATTAGAAGTGTTGAGAAATTAGGGCGAAAAAAAACAAGAATCGACATAAAACCAGAAGAACACAGAGATTTAACGAGGTTTAGCAAAGATGACTACGTCCTCAGGAGCAGAGCGGTGAATTCACTGTTTCAGAGGAGTTTAGTACATACTCATAGAGTTACACATTATATATATAGATAAAATCCATATATAAAAATATTAACACACCCTCGCTCCCCCAACCCACTTAACTCCAACAGATACACCTCTTCACTCCAAGAGACTCCAAATTTTGGTATAAGAGTCATACCTAACAAATCTCCACCTTGGCGAATATGCAACCCCTTAGGAGAAATAAAAAAAATCATCATGAAGTTTATTATACCAAAGTGGGTTGGACAACCAAGCCGTCTAACAATTGCAAACATTCAACAAGTTCAAGCAATGCAAGAACTTGTTGATAATATCTGGCTTGGTCAACATATCTGCTGCAATTTCATCATATGAATTAACAGAGTGAACTCCACCTACAACTGTACTCCCCAACAGTTTATAGATATTACATGCAATAATCTTTCCTTTCATTACAGTCAATGTACCTTTAACAATTCTGATAGTTTCTCTATCCTCATCTGTCTTAGGAATAAACTATGTGTAAAGTGTCCAAGGAAATTAAATTCTTCTTCAAATCTGGAATATGTCTTATGTCACATAATGTTCTGACAGTGTCATCATACATCTTAATTCTGAATTTGTCAATGTCAACAATATTGTAACATCTATCATCATCCAAAATGACCAAACCGGAATAAGATAACTTGTATGAAGTGAATCATTCCCTGTTAGGTATTATATGATAAGAGCATCCTGAATCATGAATACATGCACCCTTCAACCGAGTTATTGTAACTGAAAGTACATCACCGTTGCCGTAATCTGTAATGTTACTCTGCACCATATTCATGGACTTGGAAGATACATCGTGTTTCTCATCAAACTGCTCTTGAGCTTTGGACAATCTCTTTTCATATATCCCGGCTCCTTGCACTTGTAGCAATAAATCGTCTTTCTGCCTTTAGGTTTTGACCTGAAATTTCGCATTCCAGAACTCTGCATTCCAGAACGCATTCCAGAACTCTCCTTCTCATATTTCCTTCCACGATTCTGATTACCCTTAGCATATAAACAATTACCATGAGAGCTTTTCCCTTCATTCTGCTTCCGTTAGTTGTGAGCCAACAATGCTACAGTAATCTCATCAATTTTGATTGTTTATTTCCCATATGTAAGAGTAGTCACCAGATGTTCATGGGAGGAAGACAATGAACACAACAAAATCATTGCTCGGTCTTATCCTCAATACTTACATCAAGCCGTGTCAGATCTGTGATTATTTGATTGAAGACATTCAAATGTTGTGACAGATCAATGTCTGTCCGCATCTTCAACCCATACAATATATGCTTCAGATACAGTTTATTTGTTAGAAATTTGTACATAAACTGAGATTCAAATTTCTTCCATACTTTTTCTGGAGATTTCAGATTCATAACATGATACATAATATCATCTGTCATGGTGTCTGCCGCTCGTGGTTGTAATTCTTCTCAATCTTCATCTTCCATATTATCATGTTTCGTGGCTCGCAAAGCCTTCAAAATTAATTGTTATGCCAACAAATCTTTCATCATTGTTTGCCACAATCCGAAGTTCTCAGTTCCATTGAACTTCATTATCTCAAATTTTGCATCAGACATTGCTTTTTGAAATTAATTCTGCAGCAAACTTTTCATGCCTTGTGTCGAAACAAAAACACGCCACAAATAAATTCAAAGAAACCTGAAATTTTTCTATCAATTGCAGCAATTTTCCTGCTGTGATTCTTGAATCAAATTGTTTACACGAAACACTTTTCTTGTTCGTGTCAACACTTCGGCTAAACTGATGTCCAACGAGCCAAAATCCTTCGCCTGTTCGCAAAACACCTTGTGTCTATTTGTGAAATACATCCGCAAAACCACTGTTCTCAAATAGTCGAACTTGCTCCCTGCACCCTGTCAAACTCCACTTGTTGCTAATTCTACCTATCGCAACTTCTCCTGCGACAAACGCCGAACCGCTTCTCCCGCCCTGCGATCCTCTGTCGCGAGACTCTACCTCGCTGAACCATTTCTCGCACCCTGCAATCCTCTGCCGCATGTCGCCTGCCTCCTCTGCAAAACCTTCCTTCGCGAACGTCGTCCGCGACCTTCATACATCGAATTGTCGCAGAACTGCCGAAGCCTTTTTGCTAACTTCTTCTAGCCTGGAACTGCCGCAAAACCGCCCGAATAACTGACTTCTTCGTCCTCTGCGTCGTGAATCCTCGGCTGGGCCAAACCTTCTCAGAACTCGCGCGGGAACTCTTCCCGCACGCGACTCGCAGATATTGGTCGCGAACCTCCAAGGGAGTCTTCCTGCGGAAATCGGAACTGCTGTTGAACTTCTTTTCTTCCTGCGCCAAAGAAATTTTTTTTTTCCCTCCTCTCTCTCATATTTTCTTCCCTTATCTCTCTGATACAAATTTTTGAGAAATGTAGAACGAAGAAAAACAGGAATTAACACAAATCCAGAAAAACACAGAGAGAATTAATGAGGTTCGGCAATGTAGCTACGTCCTCGAGAGCAGAACGGTGAATTTCACTATTTCAGAAGAGTTCAGTACATACTCAAATGTTACACATCATATATATAGATAAAACTCACAGATAAAATTACTAATACTCCCTCGCTCCTCTAGCCCACTTATCTCCAAGAGATACACCTCTTCACTCCAAGAGACTCCAAATTTTGGTGAGTCGTACTTAACAAGAAGTTGGGAATGATTGCAAGCCTAATAATTATGCGCCTAAAGATGAGCTTAAACCAAACTTGAATAAAGGATTGCAAGTGATAATTATTGTACTTAAGAGAGCTTCTTCGATCATTATCGTTACTCCTCAACCCAAATAAGAGTTATATTACTAAAACATCAAATTGTTCGTGTTGCCATTGTAGGATTATGGGATCTATATTTTGAATAGTCTGAGAAAAATGTATAACGCATTTAAGTGTTTGGATTTAATGCCTTCAATTTCTTTTTTTTTGGTCGATTTTGCACATGTTGCACATTTAAAGGGCATTTATGAAACAATTTCTTCCTTTGCCAAAGACATTAAATTCCCAAGAAAATAACATTTATGCTACTAAAACAATATTTCCTGAATGCGTTTTGTAAGACATAGGAATTAATGCAACTTAAAAAAAAAACAACTTGAAACCATCTATAAAAGGAAAGCCAGCTAGAAAAAAAAAGATACATAACATTTACTATTATCCCATGAAAGTAAGAATAAATATTAAATTCAACTATATGTGTCATTACTTTTTTATAGAAATAGAGGTGTTATGAAGTAAATAAATGAAGGTGGAGTTAAGGGGAGTGGTGTCGCACCCCGGGTCCGAAAGGTAATACACCTCGGCGACACAGAGCGTGATGAAATGAAATAAACATGTTTTGTATGCTCAAAGAAAGACTTTCTATGCAAATAAAGAAAATATAAATTTTATTAATGTTGAAAGTTCAATGATACAACTGGACTAAAATAGAAATGATAACATAGAACAACTACTCATACCCAACAAGGTAAAAAAAATACAATAACTAGAAATAAATATAAAAAAATACCCAAAATTGGGAGCTAAAAATGAAAAGCTAGCTTCGGTGGAGATGGTTTTAGGATGACATAATAAAACCTGTTATGTAAAAATTAAGAATGATTTTGACAAACTCAATATATAACAATTATTTATTAAAACATAAACGACGAGAAAAATGGGGCATGCAATATGAACAACAAATATAAACGATTACAACATCATGAAGCAAAAAGAAAATGGTAAACCAATATGTTCAAATATCATAAAAAAAAACATGCAGTAAACTTTCTTATTGTTATTTTTTTCATTTTTATTTATACAATTGAATTTAACAGACATCCTGAAACCAGGAAGGTCGGATACCAAGCCAAGGAACCCGACGATTTCCTATAGAGTCGTCACTCTGTGAGCCTGTCAATCCGTCTAGCCAAAATCTATAAGGGTTCTATAGACCTACACACCATCATACACAAGCATGTCAAGCTGTTTTCACAAGTATAACATGTTAAAGTTATAATAATTCATGTAGACTAGTGATATGACATATGCAAATTCATACAAGTGCAAAAAAGAGAAATCATACTGCAGGATCAAATCAAATATGCAAGCAAGTTTGCATCAATACATTTAGGAAGTTGGTTGCTTCAATATGAGTGATAATAGAAGCATATAGAAATGCAACATAATAATTATAATTGAAGAATCAAGGTATAACTGACAATCCTATATAATAACTATGAATCTACCACAATTAACAAAGACTAATGCCTCTAACCAAGAAGTATACATTTATTCTTCAATGAACAGTAGTCACTTACCTCGAGACGGCACTCACGACACTTCTACGAATTCGACGGCGTAACGAGCAATCCTACACAATTTAAATAATTATGAATTTAGTCTTATTTATTTACTAAATTAAGTGCAATCAAATTGACAATTACTATCATCATCATTACTATTAAATTAATGTGATTTATCAAATTATTTGTATACTTAAAAGTAGGAGGTTGTGAATATTAATCTAAAATAATGTCTTCTTTTGTCTTGATGAGGAAGAAAGAAAAATTGATTTCCAAGTAAACTCATTGAGGTAATGGAGGTTGTGGATAGAGGTGGCATCACGATGGGGAGGTTGTTGAGTACGTGCAAAAACCAATGTCAAAAGGTACAATTAATACGAAGGTTACAATAACTTATGATGTAAATGCGAAGGTATATATGTAAATAGGTATGTGCTTTGTATGAAGAATGTAAGTTCTTCTAATATAAATGAATGAAACTCAATTGAACCAAATGCTCATACAATCTTTAATAATTGTTTAAAGAGATTTATGTCATAATTTTATTTATTTTTTTCACACCTCGGACGAGTGATAGAATTATTGATATCCCACTTTTGGCAAGCGTCCTCACAATAAGTTATACACTAAAACAAAGTTCATTATAGGTGAAAATAGTGCATACATTGAATGTATGTGAAAAGGATGGTCGAGATAGGCACAAAAAATAAAAATAAAATAAATAATAAATATAAAAAAACATTTGAATTCTCCTCAGTAAATATATTCAACTTATGTAATATTTTCTCCCATTATAAGATTCAAAACATAATTGGGATAGAGAGCCCAATGACTAAGGGTGTGTGCATTATTTGGTCAAAACCGGAGAACCGGACCAATCAAGTTTAGTTGGTTCAATTAGGTTTTAAATTTAGATTTTGGTTTTCAGTTCGATTTTAATCTTTTTTTAACCGAACAAACCGATAACCGATATTTTATTAAAAAATATTATAATTTAATTTCATCTCGAAAAAAAAAGAAAATCTAAGTTTTTATTATATTTAATGTTTGATTGAAATAAATAGAGGATTCATGAAATCAAATCAATATTATGTGAATAATCTATGTAATTTGTAATGTTTGTTCTTAGCTGAATTTTAACAAACAGTTAAATTTTGATTTTTTTCATAGCCGAATCTCTTAAACCGAATCAGATTTCTGTTTGATCTGTTCGGTTTTATCAAAATTTAGATTTTTTTTTTATTTTTTGGATTATGGATTTAGTTTGTAATTGATTTGATCAATTTTAAAACCGCTCCATTCGACCCAAACAAATGCTCACCTCTAACAAAGAGCTTCACTCACTTTCAAACTTTTAGTTTCCACTATTTTCCCTCTATTTTGCCCCCTTTTTTCCTGTACAAGGAATGAACACTGTAAAAAGGTCTAGAAACCAAAATAGTCACAGTTTGACTTTAGCTCATCAATTTTCATGATTTGGTACACCAACATTAAATAATATTTTTCTAAAATGAGTCACATTCGGACAGAACGTTTATTGTGTGTGTATATATATATATATATATATAGATTGGGAGCAAGTTAATGTTATATCCACTAATAATTATCATTTTATGCTGAACTATGGCTTCATTTGAGGAATTTTAGTTTGGTTGGAGGGGACGCCAAAGCTTGCCGGAAGTTCTTTCACAAGAATGGTAGATTATAGTTATTTTAGATCACAGCTCTTCGAACACAACTTTTAAGAGAAATTTGCTGAACTTCACCACAATTTCAAATGAATTCTAAATGTTGTGTATGCCTGATTCCTCTCCTGAATCCTTACCATGTTCAAATAAATTAGAAATTTCATATGAAAATAAGATTTTCACTTAGAATAAAAGATAGGAAATAGTAATAACTAAAGCCTTTACATGAAGATAAGGATTCAGATCTACCTAAAGAAGACTTGGGTATACATTTGCTGATTTAAAATGAATAAATTGGCACTTATTAAATGCAAATTTTGACAAGGGAGTACAGCTCTAGTGTTCAGAATACAATATATAAATATATATATAAAGCAATTAAAGTTAAATTATTAAATTTCTTGAATTAAAATTTATCTTGGGAATACTAAATTTCATTTATTTTATTTTAAAATTCAAAATATTGCAATTTTCTTATTTTCCAAAATTTAAAAATAATAATTTTGTAGAATAATTTATTTGAATTTACTTACTGAAGCCTTAAATATATTAACACTACACCCCTATGTCCCTATAACTCTTAAGAAGCAAAACATTTGAAAATGATGGTACATCCCATACTATTTTGGGAGAATTCCCCTACTAGTATGGTACACAAAATACTTTTGTTCTGGCTGAAGCTAATGAAGAAATATTCCCAAAAATATCAGTGAAGAAGACAATTGCTTTGCTGAACGAAAACTGGCAAGTTACAGCAAACAACAAAAGAAAATAACATCCCTTACTTCTAAACTACAAAGCTCTATAGATTACAACAAAACAAGGAAGAATTGCTTTAGGATTGAACACAAAAATTTCATCTAAACTTGAATAAAGTGCTGAACTTCCCAGCACTGAATCAAACTCCTCCGAACTGTCCTGGTTCCTCTTAATTCTCCCTGCAATCACCCTACAGACCAGCATCCCCCTCTTCTCATTTTCAGACGAACTCTGAGCCAAGTTATGAGCTCTCCCACTGGTCGCCATTGTTCTAATCCTTCCTAAAGCATCAGTTTTTATTCCATCTCTTATAATGCTGCAAATTCTGCACTTTGGAATTGTGCCACAGAGGTTTGTAGAGCCATGGAGGCCAAGAGAGCAAGTGAAGGTGGTGCAGTGGAATCTCAGGAGCTCATTCCCATCTGCAATGCACCTTGGATACTTCTTGGCAAGTTTGCTTGCTTTGTTCTTAATGTTGTTTCGATATTCTTCGAATCTGGCTATGGTCTTCTCTGAGTTGTGGATTTTCAAAATTCTGTCAATTTGGCAAGTTGGAGCTTGTTTCTTTAGCCAGCTGGATTGGAATATGATTTCTACTATGTTTCTGCTGTTGTCGTCAGAACCCAATTCTGAGACTGGATTGATTCATAGTTTGAAGGGAAGAACAGTCATGTCAGATGGCTGAATTTAAGTTTTTTAATTAGTTAAATGGCGTTTTATAATCTATACAGAACCAAGCCTTCTGATAGAGAAAGACTGTAGTAATGAGAAAAGACATTGATCAAATTTAATTACCGCTGATATGAGATTTTTAAGAATTGCTGAAAAAAAAAATAGTTGTTGAGTACAATGTTTTCTAATTATTAGTGTTTTTATTAGAAATTGTGTTATTACTGTAACAACTATTTATTAAGTGCAGTTTGGTTGGTTTAATGACACATAATGTTATTTAAAATGACAAATAGTGATCATGATTTTTCTTTTTCTTTAATCCTTTTTTCTTCAATTAGATATCAAAACAATGTGTTGATATGGGCAACACTGAAGGCCAAAGAAGTACGATTATTATTTAAATATTCCCCCAAATCTTATATCTGGTATTTAATAAGAACATGCACACATGTGCTATATTTTGATTAAATAACAAAATAGAAGAACTTAAAACTAAAAAAAAAAGGTAAATTATTTTCTACCTGCATGCCTGGTAGTTCTATGTAGCTCCAAATTCTCAGATTTCATGAAGATCTCCCCACAATCCGAACAAGAAAACATGGTTGTTCTAAGAGAAGAATCTCTGACCACACCATGAATTGGATCCACAGCCATGTGACACTCATAGCACCCTGAAAGCCTCCTCAGATGCATTCCTCTGAAAGAACCACCTAATGAAGAGAAAGAGGGGGTGGCACCCAAACTGGTGGAGGAAGAAGAAGAAGAAATAGCTCCATTGATTTCACACAAAGGAGCTTTCATGGATCTAGTAGATCCTCCCCCACTCACAGAAACTCTCCTCTTGCAGCTCTCTGGTGAGGAAGCAGCCACAGGCCTCAGCAATATCTTAGAGTTCTCTCTCAGCTTGCAGAGAGTGCCAGAGCATCCTATTCTCTTGCACTTCTTCTTGTTCCCTTCTCCACCTGCTGTTGCTACTTGGTGATACCTGCAGGTAAAGAAGCTTGTCAGAGCTCTTCTGGGAGTTGGATTTCCCTCTTCTTCGTAGATTTCTTTCTGATCTGAATGCTTCTTAGCTTTCTTCTCTCTGGTTTTTCTGGTTCCTGCCATGGTAGACTCACTGAAGCTTCTTTGTAACAAGCAAGAAGAGGGAGTGAGGGGGATCTTCTTCTCTTCTGTAGTGCTTGTTCTTTAAAAGAGGGCCCTTTAAACTTGCTTTGCTTGATTAAAGTTTTTGTAGTAATTAAGTTATAAATCTCAGTATTTTGAAGGCTTAAGCAATAAAATGGTGAATAAACAAATGCTAAAGTAATTAAATAATTTTGCTGAGCGGTACCTTTGAGAAGAAAGTCAGAGAAGAGTGCTGATGGGCCACATAGAAGACTCCTTTAAACCTGCAAAGCTCATGTGCTCTGCATGACTGGATGATGGAAACAAGAACTAAATTACAGTGAAGTTTCCTTGAAAAAACAAAATAATTCACTTTTACAAAAGCCAACTTCCCTACCTGTAGGCTTTCAACTTCCTCTTGAGTATTTGTGCATCCACATGTATATATTCTTATGTATTTAATTATCACACACCTGAACTTTCATATATATGTGGATATCTTCTTAATTATATATATACAAAAATAAAAAAAAACATATATCTATACACAAATAAATATTTATGTGGATGCAGGATGTTAAACTTGATTTTAGTAAAAAAACTGGATTTCTTCTTAATCTAAATATATGTGGATGCATAAACACATATATATGCACAAATAAAAAAGTAATTCTACTTATGAATATGAGTATATATAGTCAAAAATTCTCTCCCAAAGAGTTAAATCAGCTCACTGGAAACATGTGAGGAGGGGGCTGCATTGTATGATAAATGACAATAAATGGCTGAATTCCCTACAGGGCTTACATTTTACATAGAACAGGTTGGCTAATGCCTGAACTATGGAGCATAGCTGAATGCCGTTTTTTAGAAATAAGAAAAAAATGAAAAAAATCGATCAAAATGTCTCAAAGAAAATTCTTCTAAGAAAAAAATAAATTCCATTAAATTTATATTGAAATGAATGACATGCAAACAAATTTCGCTGTTAATTAGAAGATATTTTCTCATTCCTAGTATGCATTTTGTTCAGTACATTCTGAGTTTTTTTTTTCTTGCAATTAATTATGAGTCTTTCACTCTCTCTCTCTCTCTCTCTCTCGTTCAGAGAAGTGCATAGTGTTGACTTTCACATCTATTACACAAAATAAGTCAAGCGGATGAGACAAATGTAGCGAACAATAAGAGATGATGGGATAGGAAGTGGTATATGAATCAGATTTATATCATCTCAACCATCATTGAAGTTGCTCAAATGACCCTGATCATAAACACACCACTTGAGCATGTCTGGGACATCGAATTTATCGAAATGGCACTCATATTATCCACGTGTCATAAAATTTGAGATGATAATATAATCTTGAAATGTATGTGTGAAGCGCATAGGTAATAGATAAATATATAGGGATTTTGTATAGGGGTGTAGTATATTTAGTGTGTCTATTTTGAGTTATATAGGGACTTCGTCCTCCAAATGAATGGGAATGTGAGAGTGAGAGTGCAAGAAGTGAAGTAGAAGCAATGAGAAGTCTTGGGAAAAACTCAGCAGGGAAAATAGAAGAGCACAACAAGAAATTCTGGTGTAATCTTTCTAATTCTATTTCTTGTATTGCACTTGTATTTTGGATTTAAAAGAAGAAATATCCATATGTTTTGTTTAAAATAATGCAAGACTAAATTCTTGTGCTTCGGATTTGTAAATTATGGACTAGTTTCATGCAATTATGAGTTTATAACTTTATTATTATAATTTTTAAAAAGAAATGAGTAAAAAAGTCATTTTGATGGTGCTTGCAATTATAAATATCAAATTAAAATATAATTTTTTTATTAATGCAATAAACAAAATAAAAGTTTTATTTAAAGTGATTTAGCCATCGTTTGAGAAAGACATTCAAGTTTAATTTAATAACTGTGAATGTCGCCACATAAAATCTTTTCAGTTTGATAAAACAACATTTTTCTAGCCTCTCCTGAAATTATTTCACGATATTTGTTTGTCCTTTTAGCATCAGATGACAATGCTCATTCCATCACAAAACTTTTAATAGAGGGCATAAGGAAACTCCTCCAAATAAAGTCTTCCATACCACTCAATGCTTTTGGAAATTTGAATTAATTGAAGTTACATGTGACTACAAAAAAACTGAGTGGCACTTATGTAAATACGCCTTTCTTCCTTAAGTATAACTTCGAAATTCAAACCAGCCATCTGTTCGAATTTCAAAACCCTACTTTCGTCCCTCGATTCTCCCTCGTTGATTGTTTCTCATTTCTCGCTGGCACAACTGCGTTCATCCTATTTCCTTGTTCGATCGATCCAGGAAATTTCTTTGTAGATCTTCTGTGTGGCAGTCTTTTTTCAGGTAACCTAGCGCGATGATGTCCTCTCATTTGCACCCATCATTCGTATTTTCTGTTTTGAATTCTTAGCGTGGGATCATTAAAGAAGAGAGGTAAAAAGGACATCTTGATGGTGCTTGCAATTAAATGTTGTTGATTGATTTAGTTGTTCTGTGCTTATAGTTCTTTGGGCTTCATAATATTTCTCATTTTTAAATGCCTTGTACTGCTTTATTCCCCTTGAATGCTTTGTTGTGTAGACAGGTTGGAATGTCAAAACCGTTTCCTACATTGTACATTCTTAGCTTAAGGGATGCCATCCCTTAAGCTATGTTCTGCTCATTCAGAAACTTGATTTTGTAGGTTACCTAGGAGTTTGAGCCTTGCTTTAGAAATCATAACCAGCTTCTGCATTTTTTCTCGTTTTTTATTAGTGGGTGGGTATTGAGAACTTTGCTTTCTCCGACTTAAGTGTTATCAATTCAAGTTTATGGGTAAGATCGAGGATAATCTTTTTGTCAATTTTAAGGCTGTTTGGTAGCAGGATTTATGCAGGGTTTATGAAGGATTTAAGTTAAATCTTTCTAAACGGTAGAAAAAGACCATTTTAAATCCTGTACCTTTCTAAATCCCATTTGTACACCATTTCACCTTAAGGAGGTGCTTGACTGCACCTAGGATTAACATTAAATAGGATTTAGTAAATCCACCTTAATCTTAGATTTATGAAATCCTAGCATTCGGAGGATTTAACTTAAATGCGCACTTCTCAAGAGCTCTTCTCTTTCATACGTTGTGAACCCATTACGGGGCTTCATGTTCACAAAAGACCAGTGAAAACAAATTTAAAAATGCACGCTTTGAGGATCAATTTTTTATTCAACCGATTATTAATTTGAATTGAACGTGTGAATGCATGATTTCTATTTCTTTGCCATGTATAACTCATATTTAGCAGTACCTGTCACCAATGTTTCATAGATATGATTAGGTCGAGTAGTCTGATCGGTTCAACTTGAATCCTTCTTCTGACTATGGTTTTACGTGTAAATGAGCCGAGCACAAGTTGAGCCTGAGCTTGCTCGTGTTCGGCTTATTTATATTTCGAGCTCAAAAAGTGTGTTCGAGCTTGACTCATTTGCTTAGCAAGCCGAACACGAGCTGTTCATGAACAAAGAGTTATTTTGATACCCCTAGTCATGCAGTCGTAAGATATTAAAGGCCCGTTTGGGGCAGGATTTAAAAATTATTGTTTATATGAAAACATCTTTTGAATCTAATTTAATAATTTTTATTCTATTTTCTTAATTAATACTTTTAATTGATCATAATTCTTTGTAGTTTTGTAGTCAATTAAACTTTATATATTATGAGTAGTATTTCGAGCCAAAATAAGTCGAACACGAACGAACAAATCTTTACAGAGGCGTTTTTTGAGTATTAAAAAATTATGCTTAGTCCAAAAATAAATGAGCATTCACAACCTCAAAGTAGATAAAATAAGACATTTATGTTAATTAATAATCAATAATTTTGGTTTGAACTAATTACTTATGAAATAATAATTTATTATTAATTAATTATTGATTTTATAAATTAAGAATTACATAAAATTTTATTAAATAATTTAAATCTTCAAATATATCTTTTTTCATTAATTAACTATTTACATATAAAAATTAATTATTAATCAATTAAATTAATTAAATCAATTTAATCAGAAATAAATCAAAACCACCCCCTCTCTCCATCCGCCCCCTCTTCCGCTTTCTGCCCAAAACCCTCGCTTCATTCCATCCCACTCCCGGTTTCACCCAAAGCCATCGAACTTGGTGAACGAACCTTCCTGTTACAATTGCCATCATAGGCAACGACGGGATCGCGACTTACAGAGACCACTGAAACTCCCGTCTTTCTCATCCTTCCGCTCTGTCCCTACCAGAAATCATTGAGGAAGGTAAGCCTGTTCCAACCATTCTTCCTCTTCGTTCTTCCCAGATTTACTAAATCTGCTAATTCACAGTATTTAGTAAGTTCAGGATTTGTAGCCAATCGGTGTCATTTTGGTATTTCCTGGAGCTCAGGATTTACAGAGACGTTCTTTGCCGTTTAGCAGGATTTGGCTTAAATCCCGCATAAATCTTTAAGGTTTCGTAATATTTCTCATTATTAAATGCCTCGCACTACTTCATTTGGATGGAATGCTTTGTTGTGCAGACAGGTTGGAATGTCGAAACCGTTTCCTACATTGTGCATTCATCGCATAAGGGGTGCTATCCCTTAAGCTATATTTTGCTCATTCAAAAACATGATTTTGTGGGTTTCCTGGGAGTTGAGCCTTGCTGTAGAAATCAGAACCAACTTCTGCATTTTTTTTGTTTTTTTATTAGCGGGCGGTTTTGAAAACTTTGCCTTCTCATGGTGACTTGAATGTTGTGACAGAGGATCATTTTTTTGATGGTCTAGTGCACTCAATTTTAAGGGGCTGATTGGTAGCAGGATTTAAGTTAAATCTTCCTAAATGGCAAAAAATACCATTTTAAAACCTACAATTTTCTAAATCTCATTTCTACACCATTTCACACCTATGATTTATGTTAGATAGGATTTAGTAAATCAGGTAAATCTGGAGATATCAAATCTAGAAGCTATAAATCCAAGATAGTGTTTGGTTCAGTTAAGGCTAAATCCACTCAAGTCTGTTTGACGTGTTAGGCTTCTTATTTCAGGATTTAATTTTCCTCCGACGCTAAATTCGTTAAATTCACTTAAAAATTGGATTTACGTGAAAAAGAGATGGATTGGAGAGAAATTTGGACTTAGCGAACCACTTGATTTACTTCTTATTTTTGACATTTGGGTGGATTTACGTTAACTCCACCCATAAATCTTATTAAATATATGCTACCAAACACCGCCTAAAACTTAAATGTGCAAGTCTTAAGATCTCTTCTCCTTCATACATTGTGAACTCATTGATGTCTTTCTCACTAGTTACGGTCATGCCTTCTCGCTTTTTTGACCTTTAGAGATTTTGGTAGTAGGAGGAGAATGAAGAAGATGTTGAATATTAAATGTGTTGCCAAAAGGTTCATTATTAAATTTTATAATTAAAAGAATTGTAAATTAATCATAATAATTAATATTTATTATTAAGTTAAATAAAATAATATTTGTTTGTTAATTAATTTGATTAAATAGAAACTTCTATATTTAATAAGCTTATATTTTATTAAATAATGCTAAATTGTCATATATTGATTTCATAATGGTTAATTAAATGTTAACTTAAGTAAAGTAATATTATATTTGATTTAAATTATTTTTTAATTATTTTCGGGCTTATTTAAGCTCAATTTTATTGTTTGTTTTTAAAAAATATTTTTTTTGGGTTTGTTTTCATTTGCTTTAAAAATATTTTAAAAATAAATCCAATTGTTTTATAAATACTCAAAACAACTAAAAAATATTTTTATTGTTTTTAAAAACTTGTTGATTTGTTTTCAATATTACATGTATATTTTATTTCAAATCATAATACAAATGAAATAAAATAAAAACTTAAAATAGAAAATAAAAAAAACCAAACATCACCTTAATAAATTACTAATTAACGATTAATTGAGATGTTATGTTTAGCATAAGTCTTTAACCTTTTGGTCAATGAATTGTGTTCCATTATTTATGATAATCATTATAGGTTGGTCCTATCGACATATAAAATCTGTTTAGATGAAGTTACAAACTACATCAGTATTAGTCTTGGCTAATGCTTTAGTATCGTTCCACTTGGATAAGTAGTCAATTGTGACTAGTATGAATTTATGTTGTCTTCTGAGAAAATGACCTGAGGTGTTCGAGTCCTCAAACGATAAATGATTATGGACTAATGATAGGTTGTAGCTTGTGGGAATGTAAACTTTTGGCACTATTCGCGTTTTCCTTAGAAATCTTCCACATCCTTCTTGTGGGTTGGCCAGAACTAACCCTACATTAATATTCAATTTGCCAAACTTTTTTCTCTAGACTAGCTTCCGCATTTGCTTGAATGAACTTCTTTGAGGATTTCAGTCACATTGCCTTCGCACATGCATCTTAAGTACAACGAGGTTATCGATCTTTGAAAGACTTCTCCATTCAAGATGAGGTGTTTCGTCGCCTTGATCTTTAACCGTTTGTGATTCTTTACTTCAGCGATAAATTCCTAGGTTGTTATAAAATGGAGTCAGGGATCCTCCCAACTTTCACTCTTTTCTGCCTCTACCTCCATAACTTTGATTTCTTCAATTGTGGGGGGGTAAGTCTCTGTGAAGGTATCCTTTCCTGGTGGTTACATTTGGATAAGAGCTCTGCTACTTGGGTTTTGTCCTAGGAGATATGTTCAATTTTGAAAGAATCAAACTTCCCCATCTTCATCCACACTTTTGCAAGAGATCTTATCATCATTTATCATAGGCTTAAAACCATATGTTTGCTTGGTTGACTATCACTTGGGAATTAGATTGCAGCAAGCGGCGTCTCACCTAAATTTTATGAGGCGCAATAGTACAATGAAAGCTTCATATTCTACTTGATTGTTGGTTACCTTAGACTCAATATCTACTAAATGGTACAGGTGGTACCCTGTCAGGCTTGTCAAAACGACTCTTAGCCCAGCTCAATTTTGACTCCATGCTTTGTTTATATTTAGGACCCATATTTGGCCGTCAGATAATGCATCCTCATAGATATCAGATTTGGAAAAATTTGCAAGAAAGTGAACGATAGCTTGCGTTTTGATCACCATTTTAGGGGTATTAGACATATCAAATTTGCTAAGCTCGAGTGCCAATTTGAGGAGTCGCCCAAAATGCTCCAGCTTCATCAAGATCCTTTTGAGGGGATGGTCGGTGATCACTCCTATTGGATGTGTTTGAGAATAGGGGTGGAGCTTCCGTGCTTACAGCACTAAAAAAAAAGTTAATTTTTTCATAATAAAAAACGTTAGCCCTACGTTCCTTAGGCTTGGTCGATGCAGTAGACCAAAAATTGCTTCCTTCATTCCTTTCAAACTAGGTCTGAGTTAAATTCCTTAGAACTAACTCTCAAGTATAGCAATAACTATTTATTGTTTTTCAGACTCTGAAGTAGTGGTGAGAATGCCAGAAAATTCTTCAGCTACTAGAAGGCTTGTTCATACTTAATAGTCCATGTAAAGCTTTTGGCATTCCTCAATACCTTGAAAAAAATTGCATATTTATCGTCAAATCTGAAGATAAAGCAACTAAGACTCTTGATTCAGCTTGTCAACTTCTGGAATTCTTTGATGTTGCGAGGGGCTCTATGAGCGCCTGGACTTTTTCAGGATTTGCCTTGATTCTATCAAGCGTTAGTAAACACCCTAGAAAATTTTCTCATTTATTTGAATGTGCATTTTAGCGGTTTCAATTTCATCGGAAGTTTCTTTTAGATATTTTATATTTTATATGGGTGATTTATTTTTAATTGCATCGACATAAACCTTAATTTTTTTTTTTTTTTACTTAGCAGAAATTGTATCCATCATTCTTTGATAAGTGACATACATTTTTAAGCTCATATGGCATAACGTTTTAATAAAATACTCCCTCCAAAATAATAAATGAGGTATTCTCGACATTTAAGAGATGCATCTTGATCTGATGATATTCGGAGAAGATACCTCAGAAATTTATGATCGAATGACCAGCTAGTGTGTCGGCCAATTCGTCAAATCACTGTAAGGAGTAGTTTTCCTTTGAGTAAGTTGAGTTGATATTGGTAAAGTCGACACAAATGCGTCATTTGCTGTTAGATTTTGAATCATCTTCAAGTTTGTTTCCCATTTCTGGTATTGCACCTCCTTGGTGTAGCCGACTTCCAGCAACTTCTGCACTTTTTCTCGACGAGGCTCTGCCAGTGTAAATGTTACCGATCTCATCCTCTGCTTGTTGAATTGGTCCCTCAAGTTGATGCTTAGACAGTGACAAGCGACATCAATAGAAACTCCCAACATCTCTTTGGTGGACTAAGCGAATACATTGTGATATCAACGAAGTGTGGTGATAAGATCATCCCATGTGTCCAGCATCAAAATTCACCAACATCTCCTACTATTGCAGGGAGCTCTTCGATGTCTTCATTGGTTTCTAAGTCACTCTCTTGTTGGACTTCTAACTCCAAGGTCTCTCAATGTACGCCACTTATGATCTGCAGATAACATGCCTGGAATTGCTTCAAATTACCTCGAACAATGATTACCCTCATTTGCCAGGAAATTGTACTGCTACGATGGCTTTGAAGGTATTTAGGAGGGGAGGAACAAAGATTTAATTATAGGTTGTTGGCGAATTGACGATGATGAAGCCGGCCATTGCAGTTTTCACCCCAGGTGATTAGCAAGGTTGGGACTCTCGATGTCTCTTTCTCACCTTATAAGCCATAGAGAAGCTTGGATGTTGCAGAAAGTTGTGTGCCCCCTAGGTTCTTTTTATCAAAAACTTAATTACATGAAATATTTACAAAACTCACTATATTGATAATGATTCCGCCAATTTGAAAAGTGACAATTAGGGTCATACCACGATAGTGTCGTTGTAGTCCTTTCACAGGATGGCCTTCCTCTGTGAAAGTGATGGATGGATGGTGCACAATCATTTGTTGGGATGGGGTGGGCATACATAGCTCTTCTCTTCAAGTTAGTTGACGAGAGGCTTTGACTTCTCTAAGGATTGCCAAAACGACTTGCACAATGTGGATTATTTGAGCTCGAGTGGGTTCATTGTGGTTTCCTTCTACTGGAGCTTTTCCCTGCCTTCGAGTGATTGCTCTTGGCACCACAAACTCTTTCAGCTTTTCAACTTTTTATTCATTCATCAATTAAGCTTCAAGATACTGATATTCCTTCTTGTTGTGCTCATGATCTCTATGTCAAACTCAATATTCTTTTGGGTCTCGAATGTATTCCTCGCCTTTATCAATCGGGTTTTCAAAAGTTCTCGACTTTCAACACCCAGCCTTTAGTACTTGACCTTCAACTTCCAGTTGACCTTTGTCTGACCATTCATCATTCTAGATACGTTCCATTCATCATTTGCTCCCATACTCATTCTTTCATAATTGGTGCTCGGGCGAGAAAGTTCAAAGGTAATTCGTACTTTGAGTAACTGCTCATGTTTGTACAAGTTTGTTATTCAGTAACACCATAAATGGACATGCATGATGCTCTTTTTTTATTTTTAAGGATGAAAATTATAGATTTACATAATGAAATAGTTATAAAGTTATGAATTTTTTTGGTAAATATAGTGCAAGGAAAGAAATAACATGAGCAAGCTTTTTAATATCAATGAAATGTTTACAATTCATAACAAAATAGTCTACTTTAGTATGAAGTTGAAAATTAGGATTGAAATAGTTATATCGTATGTTCCACATATATACCTTAAATTGATTCACTTTCTTTGTGGGTGTTTAAGGATATTACACACACTTATTTCAGAGGATATAATGATGATCGAGTAGGTCTTACGGGCCACAAACTAGAATCCATATCTTTACTCTATCATCTAAATATCTAACTCTTTCTAAAAGAATATGAGCTTAGGAAGAAGAAGAAGAGAGAGAGAGAGAGAGGTTCCAAATTTTTTATTTTCCAAAAATGTGGGAGAAAGCTTCTTATTTGGCCTATTATAAAGGATGTTATGAAGTCTCGAATAATAGCAGGTTTAATCCTATAGATAAAATCTATTAAAAATGAACTTGATGAAATGTGTCCATATTCATTGATTAATTGGCCACAAATTGCACTTAATTTGCTAGTTATAGCCACTTAAATTTTCCATCTATTTTTGTGTTACAAGAGGTTTCTATTCCTTTAATAAACACGCCCATAATCTAATTAGTAAGTAAAGAAGTCATTAATTAAGCCTTTTTTAATCAATTAAGCCATTTAACAATATGATAATATTCTTGAAATATTCCCTCATTCTATTTTGGATTTAGCATGAAATAAGTTCATATTTTGTTGAAAAATACAAAAAATAAATATTTCAAAATGAGGCTTGCATGAGGGCAAGCTTGTTGGAGTGACATTCAGAACGCTGACATCCTGCGACACATTGGGTTTTTAAGTCACCGGGCCCTTAATTTGCATCCTTGCCTAGCAACTAGGGTATTAATTCTTAACAAAACTCAAATTTGCCTTCTCATTTAAACACCATCAAGACAAGATTCCATGCAATGTTGGACTTCACATTCTTAGTAAATTTCTAACAAAAACCATTTTCAATGTATGCTTTTGAGCATAAATTTCTCATTCAATTGATCTTTTTTTTTTTTTTTTTGACTATGTGAATTTATTTCTATCCCCTCATGATGGATAGCACAAATCCATCAATACATGTCACTTCGATAATGTTGGTCCCCTTCAAATTCGGGCCTTAAAATGACTCATTACCATGGTTTTAGAACTCATTTGCTAAATAGTCCCATATGAATGAAATTTATCAATGATGAATGAAAACAAAGACTCAGCCTAGTGAAGGATTTCTATGGTTAATACCTATAATGTATTGGTAGGTATTAACCATTATGGGACTTCACGTTCATAAAAAACTTCTAATGAAAATGATTTTCAATGTGCACACTTTGAGGAGCAATTCCTTGTTCAACTGATTACTAATTTTAATATGTGAATGCATGATTTCTATCTGTTTGCAATGTATAACTCATATTTAGCAATACTTGTCACCAGTGTTTTACAAATTGGATTATGTCGATTGGTCTAATCGGTTCAACCTGATTACGTCTTTTGATCGATTCCGTTTTTGGCCCAAAATCGCTTTTGCAAAAAGCCGACCAAAACCCGTGGTTGACCAGTTTTCGAAGAACCTATTGATTTTAATAATAATCAATTGACCTTTTGATTTTGATTTGATGGTTCAAAATAAAACATTTAGATTAAATAATGAGAAAATGATTAAAATATAATATCTCAAAATTTCAATTTAAAAATATATTCGAAATGTTTAAGCATAAATCATCCTAAATTAAAATATTATATATTAAACTAGTAAAAAAATATCATTATATCATAATTACATCATTTTAATTAAAATAAAACAAATTTAATATTTATTATGTAATTTGGTTAAACCTCTGGTTGAACCTTGATTGAATCTTTGAACTATGAATCTCTTCTTTCGACTCAATATCCAGTTTGGTTTTATTCCCATAATGTGGGTCCCATTCAAATTTGAGCTTATAATAACTCCGTATCATGGTTTTAGAGATCATTTGTTAAATAATCCCGTACGAGTGAAGTTTATCGGTGACGAGAGAAAGTAAAGACTCAATTTTGTGAAAGAGTTCTATAGTTAATACTAGTAAATGATAGGTAGCTATTAACCACGATGGGACTTCACATTCGTTGAAAAATTCAAATGAAAACTAATTTCAATGTGCACACTTTGAGCATCAATTTCTTGTTCAATTGATTGCTAATTTGAATGTGTGAATGCATGATTTCTATCTCTTTGCAATGAATTACACATATTTAGCAATACCTGTTACTAATGTTTTAAAAATGAAACCAGATTGATTGCTCTGAACGATTCAACTGTGAAATGATCTCCTCACTGATTCAGTTTAGGCCTAAAATCGTTTTTGCAAAAAAATTACTAGAACCGACAGTTGAACTTGCGAATCGATGCAGATCTGTTTCGGAAGGTTCTACCGATTTTAATAATAATCAAATTTGGCCTTTTGATTCAGATCTTTTTGTTGGAAATAAAATATTTAGATTAAAAACTGATAAAATGATTAAAAAGTTGTCTCAAAATTTTAATTTAAAATTATATTCAAAATATTTAAGATATTCAAAATATATTTAATTTAAATTTATATTCAAAGTGTTATATAATTTAAAATTTATAATTCAAAATATGTTTAAAATATTTAAAATATTTAATTCAAAATATATTTAATTTAAAATTATATTCAAAATATTATGTATTGCATTTGTAAAAAATATTATTCTATCAATATTACATCATTTACATAAAAATAAAATAATTTTAATATTCATTATGTCATTCTATTAAACCTCTAATTTAACCTAAATTGAATCTTTGAAACGGGAACCACGTTTATTTAGTTCGATATTCGATTTGGTTTTAACTATCTATTCTTAACAATCTTTCCTGCTGTTTCCACAGAGGGGCCGAACATAAAAAAGTCAATGTTAAAAAGATGCAATAAATATTATTTTTTAATTAGTCAACTAATTCGAGCAATAACGAGTTGATTATAATCGAACAAATGCTTGTTTGTGTTCAGCTTATTTATAAATCAAACTTAAAAAGATTGTTCATGTTTGACTCACTTGTTTAATGAAAGAATCGAACCAGAGAAACTTAATGACCCGAACACAAATTGTTTGTTAACGACAATTTTTTCTGACAACCCTTCTTAAAATGGCTCCTCATGGTTTTACAAATCAGTTTCAAAAATTCCCTACATGAATGTAATTGAGCAATGACAAGGGAGCATAAAAACTTGACCTAGTGATAAAGTTCTAAGATTAACACTTACAAAAGATTGGTAGGAGCTAAACTCGAACAGTTTTTTTGCGGATTTGTTTACATCGCTCTTAATAAGTGGATGAGACATCATTGTCCAATTTTTTTATTTGCAAAAACGATCACATATCTTATATATCTTTGTGATACTATGTTTGTTCTCATTATTGTATTTTTTTTTTTTTGCCAACATCTACCTGGTTCTGTAAGAATTTCTATAGAAATCAGTCCTACACAATTTTCTTTTGAAACAGTCCTACGCAATTCTCTTTTGAAACAGTCCCACTTCAGGTGATCTCTTATTTAAGAGTAATTACACATTACTTTGCTTATTTTCCCTAGACATAAGGATCTTTAAAAGCTTAACTTAACCTTTTAATTATCCATATCACCATTTCATCATAAGAATGGAGAGGGGATAACAACGACGCTACTAATAGTCTTTCAAATTAGGTTGTATTTGAACAATTATTGGGATCTCTAGTCAACTAGGTTTGGTTTCTTTTATTGACTGAAGTTTTATTCTACAATAATAATTAATCAAAAAATACTATCGATATAATAATATATTACTATGAAATATAATTTAATAAATTCTAGTTAATTAAATTTATATAAATAATATATTATATATGATACGAGTAATTATCGCACTTAATATTGAGAATTTATCATGTTACTTGTTGAACAACAAATAAGTTTGTGAACATAGATGAACAAGTTCGACTATGTTAATGTTTAGTTCATTTTAACTTTGAGTTTTTAAAAATTATTCAAGTTTGTTTATTTAGTAATTTGAATGAACATGGTCGACTCTTAATCGAGCCAAGTTCGAGTTGTTCATTGAGTGCATTGGTTCATTTACAACCCTATGCACAAGGCTTCACGTGCTTAAAAGAATACATTGCCATTTATATTTTGACCTGTTGGATATTTTATTGTGCATATTGTATTGTTTTTTTAGGCTGTTTTGATTATGTCATTTTCAGATGTGTCTTTCATTCATTTTGTGTGAAGATTATCTGATCTAAAGAATTGCTTGCAATGAAAAAGTATCCTGAAATTACTTAATTGTGCCATAAAAATGCCTGAAAGATTTTCTAATACCTCAAAGAACTATTCTTAGTAAGCTTTTCTTAACCTATTTGTTTTCTCTGTATAGTATTGTGAAAGCGTCGATTTGGCTGGTTGCTGAAGATGGATACCCCTCTCGCAGCTGTTGTCCACAAGGAAAATGTACACATTGGTGGAGGTACGACATTATACTTGCACGGTTGCACAACTAGCTTAATCTTACCATACAGGATTCTTATAATTGGTTGAAATTTATAGGAAAAGCTACTGTGACGAAACCTGATAAACTAAAAACTGTTAAGGCTGCTGGTAAAGTGCGCAAGGCTTTGGAAGATCTTAGAAGTACTCATTTACCTGTGATAGGGGCTTCAAAAGATGTTGATTTGAAGCAGAAATCTACTATGAAAGGCAATGAAGTAAAAAAGAATCAAATGACTAAGAAACACCCTGTTACTGGGCAAATGAAAGGTGCTAATCTGAATAGTAAGTCAGTGTTGCAGGAAAACTTTGGGAAAGGGAATAAACCCTTCGAACATATATTGACTGATGAAGAAATAAATAAGTGTTATGAATGGGCTAAGGATGGAATAGAGGGAATGGGAGGTTATTCTTGGTCTGCGAAAGATGAGACAAATTTTGTTATGAAACAAACTTTGTCAGAGATAATGGCATCAGCCATTGGAGTACCAGTCTCAGAGTTGGAACAATCATTTACGGTAATTAGCAAATATATTATCATTGAAAAACATTTTGGTACCCCTGGATTGACATTTTCCATTGCAATTCCCTTAGAATGTTATACAAGAAATTTAGGTTCTACCATTCCTTGCCATCAAATTTTACTAGTAGTTGTTCCTGCTAAATATGGTGTACATGCCTATGTTCACAAATATTTTTATTCTTTCATTCCTTTAAAAAACCGTCATGTTGCGTTATTTGTTATGTCAATTTTGTGTAGTTTTTTTCATTTTCTCTTTATTCTGTTATTTTTCGTAGAGTGAAGAAGAAGGCTATGAGACAGATGAGTCGGATTTTAAAATATCCGACCCAGGTTTTTTTCCTCAATTCCTTGCTTAATTATTTCATGTATTCAAGTTTCACAAGTTCTTAAGTAAATGATGTATGCTTAATGTGTAGGGCGCCTTTCATCAGTTTATGCACCAGAAGAACTAGATGATCCTCTTGGTGTAGCTGGATTATGGCTGGAAGATTACTACCCATTACCAGAATTAAAGTTGAATGATGATTAGGAGAAATTTAGTATTGGTAGTGACGACAGAAATGATGGTATTAAATCTGAAAGCCCGGTTGCTTATTAGGATCTGCAATAAGTACAAAATTTCTTAGGTTTGTTGAAACTTTGTGTACTTTAAGTACTTGGATATCAAAGATTAACTAATTTTTTTTATTTTTAGCCAAAGGCTTATTTAAGCATGAAAACTGATACTCAAAGCTTTATTACTTTCCCAGTGATTTTCATGATGAAATAATTATAAGATGGTCTTTTCATTATCAATAAAAATATTATTATATTTAAATTTTCATAAACATTATTTTTATAATAATTTTTATGAAGAATCTTGATTTTTTTTTTATCATTCTTGTCTCTTATATATGCATGCATATGTTTTTAGACTTGTGTTAGAAAAATCATTTTTAATAAAGCTTTAAAATTCACTTTTTTATGCTCTATAATAGTGAAAATTGAAGAATTATGCCCGTTGGACTCTTGAGAAAATTGTCTGAAAGTTTATTTAATACTAAAATACCCTTGCTTTTGACCATGGGGTACTTATTAGAAGTTCCCCTTGAATCACATGTCCACATAACATCTAATAAGCTACTATTAAAATTTGATTAAAGTTGGAACCACATTAAAAGAAATCAAAATTTGTTTGAAGTGTGGTCGAACTTTATTTGAATCCTATCCTAGATTTGTTTGAACTTTATTAAAACCTGTGCGTTGATTTAAAGTGTTTTTTTTTTATTTAAAGGTAATTTTGGACATGATTTGTATGGGCTTGAAGTGGGTTTGAACATTGTTTGATAGGGCTCAAAAAATGGTTTGATAGGTTTCATACTAGTTTCAATAAGGTTTGAATAAGGGTCAAATTTGGTTCAAACAATATTAAATTATAATTCGAATGAAAGTTATATTGGGTCCAAACATGTTTACTTAGAGTTGACATAATACTGTGCGTTCTAACAACAGCTTGAATCGAGCATAGTACAATTTTAATACAATTGGGTGTAATCGTAATAAATATAACACAACAAATTTTAGATACAGTAGAATGGAAACTAATAGCTATAACACATGGTAGTCATAATTATTGCCTCATTATAGAACCAACCAATGTTATTAATTCAAGAATTGTATTAGATTTCATAAGAGAGCAATTAGAAGGAATTTTTTTTTTCGATATTTGCTAATCATATGTGTATATATATATATATATTAAAAGAAATGACTAAAGACTATTATATGAGCCTCCAACCACTCCTAATGTGCCTAACAATTTGAGTATCGCCTACTTAAGGCTCACTTCGCTAGATGGGATTCGAACTGAGGGTCTTATACCAAGGATGTCAACCAACAAACCGGAGTATGCGACACACACACACACACACACACACACACAACACACACACACACACACACACACACACACACACACATATATATATATTTGAAAAGACAAAATTCATTGATATAAAAGAGAGGATACCAATGTTTAGTGCGTGGGTACAAAGAGCTCACTCACAGGGATTACAAGTACACATATTCCTCAAAATATAACAAAAAGAAAACAACTCATAATCATGATGGGTGTAGTCGGTGGATATACCGTTTCCCCTTCCCCTAGATCTAGGGAGGGAGTCCAACAACAAACTGAGATGCGGGCTTCCGCCCGAAACTATGATACAGTCACCTTGATAATTACTGAGACGTGGTATGCATTTTTTCTTCTTCCTGGATTCGTAAACCTGTCAATCATCTGCCAGAGGTAGTCTTGTCTGAACAATAAGGGGATCTTCGATGAAGGTAAACTGTTGATCTGACTCGGCCAACAACACAGCTTGATCCTGACACTCCTCCAAAACTTGAGTACCCTCTTCTCTCGCAATAGGTGATTCCAAGACACTTCGGTTAGCATCTGCTACATTAGCATCTGCTACAACAACTGCTACAACAAAATTCGTAGTATTTGTGATTTGAGAAAGAACTGCCCCAACAACAGTGGGTGGAAGTTGCTGGTCTGGTTGGTGAGTAGTAGCCTTACGAGTTAAATTTTCATTCAACATTTCTGGAAGATTAACAGTATCTGTTATATTTTCCTCCACATGGATGATGTTGTTAGGACCTGCCGATCTCAAATGTGGGTGAAGTCTGAAGCCTTTGACAGGGGTGTGCCCAAATAATTTACAATGATTGCAGTAGTTGGGTCTTTGTTTTGCAACAATTGACTGTCAATACCCATTGTGGACAGTACCAAACCATATTTCATCCACATCAGGGAGGGTGATATCCCTTTCAACAAAAATTCTTGCAACCGAAGGCCTGGTTAGATTGAAGGTGGGTGTATCCAATTTCATAGGTCTCTTTAGTGCAGCTCCAATAAAATAGAGGACTTGGTGATTGGAGTAGTGCAACTTTAGGCCAGGTACTTTAAACCAGATTGGAACTATAGGTGGTTCTTGGCTAGGGTCAAATTCTAGAGACCACTTAAGTAGTTTCATATATTTTTCATCTATTGTCATAAACTTTTTGGAAAATATTTTGGCATAGTCTTTCACTTTAGATAATTGTATCATCACATGTCTCTCATCAAAGAGGTTAACCTTCCAAAGTCTCAATAGTTTGAGATCTTCAAAAGCTTTTCGAACGATTTCTATTTTGGGATGTCTCGATTATAACTTCCCAATGACGGTGAATTTGAACTTGTTAAGCAGGTTGAAAACTTCAACATCATAGAAGAATATAACCTGTTTACCACTCTTCTTACCCGTCTTCTTGATAAGGTTGCAGTCCTTCTGGCCTTCAAATGATTTGTGTTAAACCTGAGGGAAAACCTTATCTGATCCCATAGAGCCAACCATATCAACAAGAGAAGCCTTCCCAAGGTTTAAAACTGAAGTAGTCAGTGGTTAAGAAGGTGCAATAGCCATGGAACAAGGAGTTGAACAGTGGCAAGCTACAGGGATTGTGCGAGTAGCTCACGTACGTACATGGAGGACGAACGCGAGAGCAACAGAAGACAGAGCCGAGAAAACAGAGCCGCAGGAGATGAGCTGGGAGCTGCAGAACGAGACCGCAGGAGACGCAGCTGACAACGAAAGACGCGCGACGAAGGAGCGATGCCGAACCACGCAAAAAACTCTTCTTCTTCGAGCGTGAAAGAGTCAAGACGACACGGGACAAAGGAGCCGACGCCGCACGACGCAAACGAAGCACGACGAAGAGGAGGAAGCATGACGAAGAGCAAATCGACGAAGAGAGATCAGGTTTCGCCATAACTGCGAAACCCTAGCAGAGCTAAATTGGAACAGGCGACATTTTATATATATATATATAATGTTATATATATATATATATAATTCCTGATATCCATATATATATATAACCCCGACCAACCCTAATGCATCTAACCACTCGAGTACCAACCCCATAGGCAATGAGGGATTCGAACCCTAGACCAGAGGGAAGTTATAATGGACAAAGCCGATACTCTACCAACTGATCTAAGAGCGCGACACACACACACACACACACATAGATATATATCCTCTTCAATATTTTGGTTTCTTCTTCCCAATTGCCTAACTGAAAGCACTCTCTCTTTGTTTTGTCGCGCTTCTAAAGCTCCACCTCGCTCTTGCTCAGCCTAGGGCATGAGATAGGTAAAGAATAAAGTAAATGAAAGTGTTAAAGGCTTAAATTTTTGTGCGCGCGCGTGCACTTACAAAGATACATAAAAATAAATAAATAAATAAATAAGAGAAAAAATATATAGAGTAGAATTTTATAAAAAATTGTTTTGATGATGCTTGAGAGATGTGAAAAATAGGATATAGTTTTATAAACAAATTTGATTTATTTATTTATTTTATCTTTTTTGCTATTTTAGTATTATAGTTTGTTTGCCAACAAAATCAATAATGCCTAACAGTTAGATTTTTATAATTTTCCAATTTTGTGCCTCTTTGGCTTTCTCTTATTATATATCATTCCAATATTTTTTCTTGAGCCCACAGTGATCCCTTCTAGTTGAGTGTGAAGTGTGGCAGAGATGTACTACTCAGTATTGAATATATTAATAATATACATTTTGAAATTTTGTCCAAACCCAAGTCTATTGATGATTTTGTTTTTCATGCTAGAAGTTGTTTGTTTCAGTTTCGTCCAGAAATCTGACACTCTTGATAGGGTAACCCCCCAAATAAAACCATAAGAGAGGCAACTCCATTTGAACAACAGTTAGCAAGCTAGACGCTCTTGTTGGTCAGCTCCAACCATAGTTTGATGAGATGACCAAAGCTATGGTGGTTATGACAGCACAGTTAGTAGCACTAGGCATCTCGGCATAACCACCAAAGTTTATTGCACCAACAGAAGACAGAGGGGAAACAACAAGGTTTCATGCTTTAACTACAGAGCCTGTGGTAGTGTGTGGGATAGTTGTCACCAATTGTACCACGAGAGGCCCAACCTTTACCCTATGACACATTGATGGAGGTTCAGCATTTCACTGACGCAAATTACATATTTGATCAAATAAAATATAAAACATACCATTTTATCCAAAGAATTTAGAGTACCTGTAAATAGGGACGTTCCTATTTAGTTGAGTATGAGCATTCTCAGTATCCAATATGTTTTTTCCCTCATTGTTTCCAGTAGTTTGATGGGTTGAGGAATCTGTGGCAACACTTGGCTCCTAATTGGGCCATATGTTGTAATATTGGGGAGAGTGATGCTTTGCTTCTTAGGATTTTTTGTTGGCAATTTGGGTGGGTTATTTAAGTGGTATGCATATCTTCCTAATGATTAAGTCGCGACTTTTGCAGAGCTTGACTAGTTGTTTATTCAAAGGTTTCTCAGTGCGGAGTGTAGGGTGACATTTAGTGATTTGGTGATGACTAGGCAACAATCTCATGAATCTTTATCTAACAATATCGTTCGATGGAGGAATCTCAGTTTTCAGTATGAGCCACAATTACAGAAGCAACGTGCAATTGAGATTTTGCTGAAAAATATTAATGGTTTAATTGCATCGTATCTTAAGGGTTCAATATCAAATCTTGTCAAAAGCTTATAAGTAAAGTTGCTAGTTTTGTTTTGAATAAATATTTAGTTAATACCAGTACCCCTTTTGTCCCTAAGAAGGGTTGTTTGATACTAAGTTATGAGGTGAAATTTTTCTTGAGATGCCACCGTCAGAGAAATCCCATAGTGATGGAATTGATCTTTTGGATTAGGAATATAAATAGAGCATAACAAGTAGGATAGCCATTTAGAGTGGATCTATTTAGTTGAAATTTGACTACTAAGAACAATAATTTGTTTTCCAATCTTTCTAACTTATTGTCAAAATTTTTGATTTTTTTTTTCAGCGAAGGATCACAATCGATAACTCGAATAGTAAGAGGCAAAACAAGGTATTTGAAAAGGGGAAAAACCAACCAACATACTAATAGTAGCAACCATCTTTACCTAATTTCTCACAACCTTGGAAAAGTATGTTTTTTTATTTTTTAGAGTAAATATCCTTATGCTTGTGAAGTGAATACACGAAAGATTTTTTTGTATCATGATTTCTGAATGATCAATACATCATCTGCAAAAAAGATGTAATTGAGCCCTTATTTTTTGTAACAAGGCGAAATTTTCCCATAAGACAACTCATCATCTAGATTGTTGGAGAAAACATCCATAATAATACGAAACAATAATTGGGATAGAAGACATCCCTAATTTAACTCATTTGGGGAGTTAAGATAACCGTTTGTCTCACCATTAGGAACAATGGATAAAGGAAAGTTTAAGATACAAGTCTCACCAACTCTTCAAACATAAGAGATTTAGCTTTTAGAACATGCTTTTCTAGAACACCTACTCTAATTACATTGTCAATTTTTTTTTTAAAGTCAACTTTAGCATATAAGAATTTTCCAAAAGAGGGGCGGGCTTTTGGGCACTTGAAATTTTAGACTATCTTATGAGCTAGACTAATTTCATTATATTATATGAATCACGAACACGGACACTCGGACACAGAAACTATACGTCACTATATGAGGATACAACATAATTAAAAAAATAAGAATATGACAAGTCATAGACATGTTTTAATATTTAATTAATTGTTAATATAAAATATTTATTTATTATTATTCTTTTTTAAAAACATACAAAGCGAATATGCAGGAATAAAATTTAACTTTATTATGAAATACATGCTTAATAAATTATTTTTTAAAAGTAAACATATAATATATTTCAAAGGATTTCTTCCAAGTTGTCTACTAAAATTTAAAATATTCGACGATGACATCTTGCTTAATTAATTAAGTTAACATATAATTTTCAAAATTAGAATACGTATAGATTTATAACTATTAACTCATTAAAGTGAAAAGAAAATTATAAATTATCACTTAAAAAATTTGGGTGGTTTTGACTCTTGGCTTCGACAAATCAAAGCTTCAGTGCAAACATCATAAAGTTCACGGGATATTTGGATTGACTTTAACAAATATTTATGGGGGTATTTGGATCAATTTCAATGACCAGGTTTAATTCTTTCTCAGGTTGAGACAAAGAAGCTTACGACTTTTGCTCTAGTGGGTGCAAATTCAGCTTTGATAATAAAAGAGAACTATAATGCTCAACTTTGATGAACGCAGGATGGACCTTTGACCCTCAACTTCGACAAACAAAGAGGGAAGTGCTGATGTTCGGCTTTGATGAATATTAGATGCACCTTCAATGCTCAATTTTGACAATGATCAGAGGGAGCTTTGACATGATAAGAGAGGAGACGACTTTGACCATAAAGTATAATTAGGGCTATGCATATATTTATAATTTTATATTTTTTGTGTTTGTTCTTTCCTAATGCGATGTCAAGGGTTGTCCGGAATGTGTTTCAGCCCAAAAAAATTTAGACTCATATTTAATAATACCAGAGCATGTCGAATAAATATCGCTGTTTGATACATATTTGACATAATGCAATATAATTTTTGAAGTGTCAGTGCTGCATATGTTAATAATATCCCTGTTTAATGAAAGCATTTGGCACGATGAATGATGTTGGGCAAAATATCTAATCTATTTTTAGATTTTGGCAATGACTTTGTAAAATGCATTGTATAAGTATGTGTTTGTAATCAAGTAAGGAGTTGGTGTGATTTATTTGAGGATTAAGGTGATGATGCCATACATGACCATTTTGGCAATAGTACTAATGTTAAGAAGTGATAAACAACCCTTAGGATTTGCAACCCAATGATTTTCCAAACTTGAAAGGAGGAAGGTGAAGTTGAAATCCTCAGGTCATTGAGTTTTATCCCCACCAATGCTCTGCAAGGAATCAAAAATTTCTTTATCAAATATAGGATTGGTGAGGTATTAGCTATGAACATTGAAGCCAAGTAGTAACATTTTGACCATTTTGGAAAATGGCGTTGAAGAAATTTATGTATTATTGGTCTTATTTGCTTGAGAGGAAACCAAAATAAGAGTAGATAATTGTTGACCTCCATATTTGCTTCACCCAAAGAAGATGGTTAACATCGGGTGCGGCAACAAACTGCTAGGAGCTGATTCATTGCAATCATAATCAAAAATAGCCAAACGATGCTTGATTATAAAACAGACCATGTGTTCGAAATGTCAAAATTGCTTAAGGGTGAGACTTCTACGAACAAAACAATCAAATATGATGAAGACGATTGATTTCTGACATGATGTACGCAATCCATACTTGAATCATTTTGATCATCGTCAGAGTCACTTAAATAATACTCGTTTACAAAATGGACTTTGAATAGTGTTCAAAGCATTAAAATTACATAAGAAATGGTCTTCATGATTAAAAGGAGCTAACAACGTGAAAGCGACAACTTGTTGCCATGATGTACATAATTCAGGCTTATCTTGACTATCGACAAGTCATGCAAATGATGTCTGATTGCAAAAACAGATAATGTTGATGTGTTTAGAACATTATCTTTTCTTAGGGAGGGCACCTATTAGAATGTAGAGCAATTCTAATAAGCTATCAAGGGAGTTTTTTGTTAATAACCTTGAGTTTCTTGAAAAGCATAAAAAATGGGGACTCCAGTAGAAAAATAGCCCTAGCTTTAACAATCATTTTTGTTAATTCATTATTATGGGTCCAGTAGGTTTTAAAGCAAAGCGTTGAACACTGTCGAGTAGAGTCAATAGAGCACTAAGAGTGGTTATTTGAATGCGGAGGAAGAGTTTTGTATGTTTAATTGGGAAAAAAGTCCAACCACTTGGAGTAATTGAGGACATTATCCAAAATGCACCATATTGAGTTGTAATGTTGGTTAATAGGCTAATTATAGACGGAACCTAGATTTGGCAAATTAAGTAAACTTATGTTGAATATACATTCGTTAAAATCTATAAGCCGGCTTAGAGGGCATGAAAAGTTATAATATAATTGAAGTCACCTAAAGCAATCGAAGTTGAATGCATTGCAATAAATATATCACATAAAGAGATCTATCTAGAGATCGCGTGTGCCAATATTATCATTAAGGGCATAAATAACTGAAACTTGAAGCTTGATAGAGTTGGAAAGACCATGGATGAGTTGAGATTTATGCATAGAAGAACTAGACATTTGATGGATTCCATTTAACACAAATGTTGTTTCCCCTTCAATAATGAAAACTATTATAGCTACTTTCTGAGGGAAAACCCTAAAATTTTTTCTTTGAAATTAGATAAGGGACGTGGCTAAGTTGACTTTTGTTTCCAAAGGCCAATAATGCCAATTTTGTTTTCTCATATTAAAATTTTGTAATCCAAGAGACAATTTTGTTTTTAGGGCTTCTTAAAGTCTAGGGTTTAATAATGGGGTAACACGTAAGGGAGAGAAGTTGGAGCCTTTGGCTTGTTATCTTTTCACTTTCTTCTGTTTCTTTGAGAAATGGTTATCGTTGATATATTTTTTGTTTGAGGCTACTTGATCTTTGATCAATAAGAGAGCTTCTAGTAGTATCAGCAAAATTTGAGACTTTTTCAACTAAAAGAGTAGATGGGTAGGATTGGTTACGGTGGTTCACTTTTATTTGATGGCTGGGATGAGATGGGTTAAGTCATGTTGATAACAAGAGGATTATGGGTTTGTAGGTCATCAAGCGGTGGTTTGGGAGTAATTGCTGAGGGAGGTGGCAGAGGAGGAAGCTATGTATCTTTCTCAAGCCGAAAAGATTGAAGGAGAAATTGAGGAATATCTTTTATAGTATGAGGGGTGGGTTCTTTTTCGAACCTTTTGAAACTTAGGTTTAGCAAGAGATTGCGGGGCGAGAGGTGCTTTTTTTGTGTAATTGTTATCATCATGTGCAAATGTGGTTGGGCATGATTTTGATTTACAGACATTGAATAGCTTGGTTCAACTTCTTTCCGTAGAGACTAATTGGGATGGAATATGTTTAAGCATAAAAGGGATCAATTTAACACAAAACTGGACTAATATAATGCTAGTTTTCATATAGGTTGATGTTTTGGCCATAAGACCAATGCTGTTTATGCTGGCAACCTTGGATACTCCCTCCTCATTCAAACAACAAAGGGAAAAGTTGGAAAATTTGATCTAGATGGGAATCTTGGAGAAATTATTCATGATCTTCCTTGTAGCAGAACTTTGAACAAAAAGAAATCACCAAAAAAATGTGAGAAATTTCAAGCTACTTATAGAGAGCCATAGAATGGTCTTTTTTTAGTTGAGTGTCCTATTAAGGCCAAATTCCATTCTTTCCAGCAAATAAATTCTTGGCACTGAGAGACTTCATCCTCATCACAAGTAATATAGGATAGGGCAAAGTCATGGTTTTTTGAGCTGTGAGAACACAGGAGTTCCTTTTGATTGAAAGAAAGTCTTGCAGAAGTAAGGTTTGAAGATTGCCATAAGGTGCTCAATGTCGCTCTTAGGATTGAACGCGGTGGGATTGAAGAGTGGAATTAGTATCCACACCAGAGGAACCCATCTACAAAGAGAAATTTGATATATAAAATTCTTGGGCAAGCAGAGCTTCACGCCAGGTTATATTTGGGAGGGAAAGGTAGGAAAAATGGCAGAAGGGACTCGAGGGGCATGCGAACCCTCTAATTTAAAGTCTTAGAAGAGGGGATAGCCCCTTAGCCTGCTCAGAGGAGTACACGGGAGGAAGATTTGGGAGGGGAGAAGTAGAGGGGCGCTGCTGTGGTGAAAGTTACATGATACCCTATTTCCTCTTAGTTTGTCCTCCACCAACTGAGGATTGAGGGTTACTTATATTTTATTGTTTAATTCAAATTGAGTTTTACTTAGGATTTCAAATGAGCAAGCCGAACTCCGTTCGCTTATGTCGATCTTATTGAGCCTCAAACTTTAGCTTGAGCTCAAATTAATGCTTAAGCCCATCTATTAAACTGCTCTAGTTCAAGCCTGACGAGCTTCCTATATGAAACTTGCTCAAGCTTTGGCTTATCGACTCATGAGCTGGCTTGTTTAGTCTCATTTTTTCCTTTTCCAGTAAGCTATATTTACGTATATGACCACCATGTAAAGCATGGAATATAGATAACTTCCTGTAGCTTTTTTACAGCTGCATTTCATGCTGTCTAATCTCTAGCTTTCTTTAACCCTTTATTTAATATTTCCTAATACTCTCTCTCTCTCTTTCTCTCTCTAAATTGGATGAAGCATGCTCCGCAGATGAGTCTTTTAACATGTTTTCCTTACATGAACAGTCTTTTGCTTAGCAACCTTATCGTTTGTTAACTCGCATGTAAAATTGTCAACAGTCCAGCTGATAATACATCATTGAGTTTATCTTTTTACTACTGTGAATGTTTTCCATCACATTATTATAGATTAAGAAATGCTGCAAATAAGGACAAGTCATAGAGTGCAATTTTCTCTAGTATTATATTATAACACCTGCAAAAGAAACTCAGCTTTCTTATAGGGCAATTATGTCTATTATTATTATGCAACCATCTGCAAAAGAAAATCAGCTTTCTCATAACTTTGTTTACAGGAACTGAACCTTTTGATGCAATCAGAGCTGCAATATGATGCAATCGGAGCTTATTTAGTGGTAGTTGTTAACACTCAAGCTTTAGTGGTTTAAGGGATCATCAGCTTATTTTGCTCAACGTTTCTTTTTGAAACATGACTGGTTTACATGTGTGGTTTCTAATACAGGAATGTGTTTTGTCACTAATTACCAGTTGGTTTATATAATCATGCTCCTTCTATTTTGTTTACATTGTACATTTTTTGGGGGCAATTACATACAGGCCACCCGAAACTTCCTATTTACAAATCAGCCACCCTCTTTCATCCATTTTTCACATTCTCACTCAAATTTCAAAATTTATGGTAAAACCCCAACCGAATTTTTTTTATTTTTCATTTTTTTATTAAATACTCGATAGTTTGATCGTGGCACGCATAAACACATCGGTTTGGTAGTTCAAAAAAAAAAAAAAAAAAAAAAAAAAAAACACCCGGGTGATTAATTTGTAAATATTAATATTTTGGGTGGTCTGTATGTAATTATCCAATTTTTTCTTTTATTAGTTGCTTATCTGCTGTGCTCCACTTTCTACGAATTAACAAGAGCTTGACATACATGCTATACATATTTGTTAGTTATTTTTATTAATGATAAGATTATAAAATATTTGTGGGTACTAAGATCGGTTCTTGCGGCTGCAGAAGGTAGGTCTCGAATGTAAGATTATTTAGTCAGTATATCACATGAATCAATGTTTTTTAGTAGAGGGTGAGATTAGTCCTCTCATGTTAATTTCAAGGAAAAATATTACATCAGGACTCTTATTAATATAGAGCTACGTTCAGAGTCCAATGAAATGACGTCACATGGAGGTGACAGAAAAATAAAAAAAAATCGTTTTAGTCCGTGTTATTCCATATTATTATTGTGTTATTATAACACTGGGAATAACATGAAATAACACAAGAAAAATATTTTTCTATGTTACTGGGCCCTATCACAGGAAAACACGCTTGTTTCCTTGAAGCAACGTGTCCGCATATCATTGGATTCCGAATGTAGCTCTATGTTAGGAGAACTGATGTAATATTTTTCCCAATTTCAAGCGACTATATCTCGAGTTCTATTTCCATTTGTTGGGACAAAAGTAACATCAAAATTTTTAAAAAGTCATCGCGTGTTAATTATTTTATTGAGTTCATAATAATTTTATAAAAGCATGTGTAAATGTATGTACAAAATGTGATGACTTGTATGTAATTCTCTCATTTTAAAATTTAGAATGGATTCCTTGTTATTTGCACGAATGTCTTTAAAGTAGATGACATGCATGGATAAGAAAATAAAGCAAGAAATCCTATTTCCCACCCTATTTTCTGTCTCATTTTATTATTTTTTTTTAAAAAAAAAACTAATCATAATTAATCATTTCATAGTTCAATTATGCATATCATTTTGGGTTATTAGGTGACTTTTATTTATTCAACAAGACCTTAGAGAGAGAGAGAGAGAGAGAGAGAGAGAGAGGATGAGTTTTAATTGGGCGATTGCATGTAGTTTTGCATACGGTGAATGTATGCAATAATTTTTCGTGTGTAAGATTGTAAGTAAACTTGTACGTTTTAAAACTATTATTATTCTGTTTATTCCTTTAAATTTTGATCGTGTTTTAAATTATTTGTGAATAGCATATTTGTGTTCGATTTGAATTACATTTATTTGTTATTCTTGGCTCATACTACATTTGAAATATGGTTGTGCGGCTTTCAAATAATAAATTTTAATATATTTTTAATAAAGTACAAAAATAAGCGTACATTTTTAAGAAATAAAAATTAGTTTTTTTTTTTGAATTATATTATTATAGGTTATAATAACAAATTTAATAAAATAATTTATAAGAAACAATTTAGTCGCACTGCAAATCATAATTACATAACAAATAATAAGTACATTACAGTTTCACTCAAATATAATTAATATATATATATATATATATATATCCACACACACAATCTTTTATATGCGGCTGCACATTGACTATACATTGCATGAATCTCACATAATCCTCCATAATAGTTTGTATGGATTCATACCTTCAAGTAGTAGAAGAGAGTTATAATGCCGGGCAACTTTACTTGATTTAAAGGCCATAGACAATACAAAACTAACAATCATTATCATAATAGGCTCACAATTTAGTTATTTATTTTCTCGTCCTCTTATTCATTGCATGTTCACATGTCATACAAATTATGTAGAGAATCGTTATCATTTTCGACTCTTATAAAATATAACAAAATTTAAATAACATATAAGAAAATGTTGCATGTCAAGCTATTTATGAATAATTATGACGTCCACATAAAGCGAAACACTCGTACTTATTTTAGTTACAAGTTTCAAATACAATCACACAGAAATATATAGGCTTCAGCCTGTAACACATCCCCTACAATGTGATGTTTCCCAAAAAAAAAAATTTAGGCAATAAATAAAGATAATAAAATAAATAAAATAAGCAAAAAATCATATAATAAATGATATAACAGTTAGACAACCTCTAAATTCCAGTAGCAAGATGAATAAAGTGCAAATAACAAAGCAACCCATAATTCATATTGAAAATAAACAAACAAACGACTAAATTCATATTACAAACAAATAAGATATAAAAAAGTCACTAAAAAAAGGAAAAGTCACTACAATTTCACTATAAAGATTTCAATGCTTTGCTCAATGAAATAAACAAAAAATAGGCATCATGCACATATGAAAGATAGTAGGGACTGTATAATCTAAAAGATATTCTTCTAAAAGCAAAAGTTAATAAAATAAATGTAATAAGAATACATATTAATACATGATTTAAACACAAATTACACTTAATCGCAATGAAGTTTAACTACTTAAAAGAAATAAACAGATGAGCGCAAGAAACAACCAATAAAAAAGAGGAAAAAAATGACTCAAGGCAAAATCACGAGAAATTATTCCATACGGACACCACATGCAGAGATTCATGTGATGCCCGATCTCTACCATCGATCACCGCTATCAAATTTTTTTTTTCTAAAAGTTAAAAGTGGAGCCTACCGAAATATATTTTTGCAGTGATCGACGGTGGAGATCGTACACCGCTGGAGTGCTTTGTGATATGTGCCACGTATGCCACATGGCGAAACACATCATCATGTGGCTTTCACAATTCTTTTAATAATGCAAATATTTAAAATTTATCTTTGAAAAATCATTATTCATTACGATGATAAAATTTTCATAATTCTTTTAAGATCTTGAGAGATAATTACTAATTTATGTTCAATTTTTGGGCAATCGAGAAAAAATAAATGATGAGTTAATCTTAATGAATAGAGCAATTCGAATCGATCAACATCATGAAAGGTATAATTAGCTGCCTGATTGAGAAATTCAGCCAATAGCTGCCAAGATGCCGTCTCACATTGCGTATAGCTGTTCCCTTGCGATTGAATTCAGCCAGGAAAAATAAACAAACCATTTATTTTTCCATGATTTCGTGGAATAAATTCGTTATTTTTGTTTAAAAATCAACTAACGGCTAAGCAAAAATAAACATGTGAAGGAATATATGATCATAAAAAAATATTATCTTCGGAATTATTTCCAATGCCTATAGGAGAAAGGAGACAATTCCTTCCGTAAGCAGTAATGTCTTTCCTTTCACTCCACACTAGGGGCATAAATGAGCCGAGCCAAGTCATTAACGAGCTCTCAAGCCGAAGTCGACCTGATTAGGCTCATTGATTCTCGAGCCGGCTTGATTATCCTACTTCAAGTCATTTCGATACATTTTTTTCAGTGAGCTGCTGCTGCATTCTCCTTCTTCTCGAGCTACCAATACCTTCTCTCATGAGCTCATGTAAAAATTAAATTTTTAGTTCAAGCTCACGAGTTGGCTGCCTGCTACCTCGACCAACCGAGTTCGAGCTCGAACTCACAGTTACGAGCTGAGCTCGATAAGGCCGTGATTTGAGCTCCACTCGACTCATTTACATCCCTACTCCACTCTACTTATTGATCTTCAGTGACGCAACGAAGAAGAAGTTCAGAGTATAGAGAGAGAGAGAGAGAGAGAGAGAGAGAGGATGGGAAAAGGAGGAGATGGAGGAGAAGAGAACATGGCGGCATGGCTCGTTGGTATTAACACTCTAAAGGTCCAGCCTTTGAAGCTCCAACCACTTGGTAAGTTGGTATCTCCTCTCCTTCTCCTTTATTCTCATTTAGATTTTTTTAGTTCATTTTGGTTTATAATTTACGCAAATATTTACCTTTTTCTCTGCTTTTATATTGCTAGGGATATTTTAATTTTATCTGATTCTGATGATGCTCTTGCTGAAAAATAAAACTCACATATTCAAGTTGGAGAAGAGGTTTGGGTCATTTGATTGACAGAAGGCACAGTGGAACAGTACAATCGTGATTTTTATCAAACATTAAAACAGAACCTTTCCCCTGCATCTTAAATGCAAGAAGAGATCGAATACAACCTAATTATACTATTTAAACTTGCAACATCTTCTGAAATTCTTTCGCAAGAACGGTAAATTTTCATAATTTCAGATGGGAGCTGGTATTCTCCGGTTTTACGAACGTGCCTGATTTTTAAAAGAAATTTGATGAACTTTGTTGCTGTTTTAATCCTATAAGTTTTTCTCCATAGAATTTCTTCACTTCTTGTCAAATTACAAATGGAGTCTCTGAACTTTTATATCATTCAAATCAGCCATTAAAAGAAAATATTGAATAAGAAGATGATAAAAATAAAAGAAAAGCAAGCCCATGTCATGATATGTTAGAGATAAGGATAAGGATATAGTTTTATCTATGTCAATCATTGAGAGAGAACACTAACTATTTGTTGAGAATATAATGATTGCATGTTGAAAAAAGTCATTATTTTTTATGTAGTTATTCTCTTTCTTTATTAAGTCCAAATTAGAGCTTCTCTGTCATGTCCCAAAAAAATCTTCTTTTTATCACACAAAGAAAATGGAACTCTATTTTACTTTAAGAATTCAAATGCCTCCCCTTATAAGTTCCTCTTTATTTCTTGAACCCAAGTCTCTCACATTTCTCTATTTCCTTTTTGTTTGATTATTGTGGTGAGATGCCAGGCCTACTGTCTCAAGGCCCTATTTTTAATTAAAAAAAAAATAATCTAATATTAATTACAAGAGGTTCCAAAATTATATATAATCAAATCACAAAAAATGAAGACTCACTAAATCTTCATAAATTACAAACAAAAAGATCAAAAGATCCTCCTGACCCATAAAAAAGAAGATATTTTTAGTAAAGAAGAGATCTAATGAATTACATCTTGAGGAATTAATTTTTAAAATAAATACTAAACTTACCATACAATAATTAACCAAGTACCTCTTTGTGCTATACTTCTAAATCAACATTGATAATTGTTAATTAAGGTTTCACAAAGCCTTGGTTTTTTGTGGGCACAGTTTTAGTGAGTATGCATGCAAGATTTTATACCCTTTTGACTGTGGTAAGCTGTAAAATGCATTTTCACTAAGATAAATGTATAGTTATACTTTGGCTATAAATGTTTTGTTCTAGTGTGAAAGCAACAATTTTTGGTAAGTGAATTATGCTTTCTCCTTCACAGAAGTGTTAAATTCTCCTATTTTATTTATACTTTTCCCCATAAAACCAGTAAGAAAAACCATTTGTTTATCTAGATAAATTCTCAAATGAGCATCAAACATGCAAATTCATATTCTTACTAAGTTCATTCTAGTTTACCTTTACTTAGCTAGAGCTTAGATGAACTCTATTTTGGCTGGATAGTTTTGCATAACCAAGAATAAACCTATTTGATTAGAATAATTTTTTCAGTCAAAATTCAACATGTGAGAAAAATGACTCAACATATTTTGATCCGATCTAGTTTTAATTAGGGTATATAACCACCAATAAGTTAATTTAAACTTTTAAATTAATTATACCCAACCTGGTTCAAATTTTGGGCCTGTTATCATAACTGGAGTCCAAGCTTAACAATGTTTTTTTTAACCATCATGATTTATGATTAGGACATCTTAAAACAATTCTAGATCCATGGATTTAGCTTTCGAAATTCTATTTGTGCTTAATTTAATTTGTATAAATGAAGTTTGTTTGGCTTAAGTTTTTTGATTTCATAGAAAGTTGTGATTCAACTAAGTTGGCTCCTACAAAAGCTTATTCACATCATGTAATAAATAAAATTTATATATTTTTGTATAATTCTAAGGCTCCCTACATGCCTTTCTTGGCATAGTAAGAAGCTGCTTATACTTGTTAACATTATGATATGTGGGCACATACTAGTAAACTCTTACAATAAATTTCTTGGGAAGGACGGGTAAAAATATAGACAACCTTAATGTTGTGTCACATGCACACACATTTCTTGGCATGATGGAATAGATAAATGTCTCCTTGTATCTTATATAGTGCAGTATAGCAAACTTCTTAGCTTGGAATGATGAATTAATTTATTTTCTAGTACCCATTTTATTGGGCTGATATTAAAAAACTACATATAATTTCATGGGATCATATAAAAATTTATAACTACACTTTTGTTTATAGTATTCTTAACACTTGTACACATATCTTCTAGCATGTCGAGAATATATAGGGGTCCTCAATGGTATGCACAACATGTAAATGACTTTCTTAGCTTGGCATGATAAGCTATAACAATGTTTCCATGGTTTAATTAGAAGCTAAGTAATTTAATTTAAGGCCAAAGCATTGTTGACATAATTCAATGAATTTCTTCAAAACCATCTTAATCTCTTCAACCATTTTTGTAAGAGAAACTGAATATATCTAACCAACTTAACTCATATGGTGTCCTAATGAAGTAATGAAGGACAATTAACCTTGATCCAAAAGGGAACTACCATAACTTATAATGGAAGATATGACACATTACCTTGTACAACATGTTATATGATTGGGTGATGTTAGATTCATCAAGAGATTTAATCCTCTATTTATATATGATTTTCAAAAAAATTTATAATGAATATTCACTTATAATAAAAATGTCATAAGACCTTATTGAGCTTTTCCTGATTTATGGATGTAACTTGCACATATATGATTCCTTAAAACCATAATGGTAAGACATGGATTATGAACATCTTTAAGGATCTATTTTTGACGCATCCCACGTATATAATCTTCCCCCTTTAGGATATGGATGATAATGGGCACTTAAGGCTTACATATCATTAAAAAAATTGCTTGAAGCATATAATCCTTACCTGATGTTGCATTATGCCTCTAAGCTAATTTTGATGTATACTTTATACATTTAAGTAGATTTTATTGAACTTCTGGACCATGAAAACCATATTAGTTCCTATAGAGATTTTTGCCCAAGTCCACACTTTAAAAGGAAACCCCATTTAACATATTAATATCCTAGTCTACCTTGAACATCTGATAGGATGAAACTCAATGATATTAATTAAACTCCCCTAATTCTTTAATTACTTGGTCTTACATTTTGATAAGGTTCATCCAATACATTGAGTGTATGAAAAATTGATTGAATTGATCATCATTCCCAATCAATTCATCTACCCATAAAGTAGTTTTCTAACTATCAATCTAGAGTTTAGTAATATATTAATAATGTTGAACATCAATCTAATAATGTACCAAACTATCAGAGCCTGCACACCAATGCAAACTATGATCACATGTAATTAAAATATGCCTCAATCAACATAATTACTAACCAAGAAAAATCTTAAGGATATTATCCTAATCGTCTTGTGAAATTGTACGCTTCTTAATATTCCTTTCTTAAAAATTAAAATATTATAATGAAAAAAGATTATACCATAGGCCTATTGGCATCTTTTGTAGTATACTTCATCTTCCTACTGATTTTGGTAACTAATCTACATTTTGTTACTTTTTTAAGAAAGTAAAATTCTTATATTTGCTTAGTTGTGAGACTTGGTTGATTATGGTGTTACTAGCATATATATACCTTAAGGATCTGCTCTGTGTGTCTGGATATCCTTTCTATTAACACGCCCTTATAGTTTCTCTATTGATGTTGTCTTTTGACCTTTCTTCAATGGTCGTTTAAGTCTATTATATCAATCCAAGATGATAGAATCATGCAGCTCGATCGAGTTGACAATCCATCCAAATTCTTCTCTTTCACTCATAAGTTAATTTTTGAATAACCAATCTAGAGCAATGCTGACATCTTTACATAGATATAGCTAACTAATAAGGATTGTGCTTATGGAAAATATTGACTAGGTAAAATTATATTAATCCTTACTGATTAGCAATGTGAAATCTTGGGAGCTTTATAGAGAAACAACATTATCTCTTTAATAACTATAATAAATATTACATATTCTATTTTTTTTATTGACAATGACACATTTATATTTATGATACCTAACTAATTTTATTGTCAACTACAGTGCATTTATGCCCATGATTTCTCTTTGTGTGCTAAGTCTTCTCCCATATCTACATTAACATATCTTTACAATTTTAGTTATATTCCTTTTTAATTACGATAATTGATTTATTAAAACTTTTAGTTTGTCCAAGAACCACTTCTTAAGTTTCCGACGCTCCTTTTCTTGATTAAACACGTGTCTAAGAACTACTTTCACTATTTCAATAGTATCTAGTTTTGCTTTAGTCATTACAAATATAATTGATCTAATAATTAAAGCATAGAGAACATTGTTCATGTGTTTCTTTTCTTTTTTATTTTAGGATTTAGTGAGTGATATACTTCTGTTTCTTTCCTTTATAGTGCATGCTCGATACCTTTTAATAAACTACAATTATTAAGAACTTAAGGTAATCATAGCTTTTTTATATCTATTTTATCTACAGAGTATGCTTGGCATTCTTGAAATATTTGAAGTTAAACACCTTTTATAGCTATCTTTTCTATACACTTTCTCTTTATTTTATATGAAATCAGTGATCAAGTAAGAAAAAAATGGTAGTTAACTATATTTTTAACTTTTTGACTTGGATCACAATTGTGCTAGGCTTAGATTTATCTTTAATGTTTTATGAAATTTCTTCCCTTTACGCTAGTCTAAACATCTCCTTGAGTTCAACATGCTTTTAAGTGGAGATTTTTTTGGTGAAAGTAATTCATTTGTAGTCGTATATTACCA